GAGACCAAAACAAAGAGCATAGTATGCAGGTTTTTGCCCAAAAAAACATGGTATTGTGGTAAAACGTCTAGATATCTTCTAGATATGATCTTAGTTCATGTATAATTGTATCCTCTTGGTTTGGGTAAAGCTGTCGTCTGCCTTTCGTGTTGTGCAGATGGTGCGATCTTACCTCTGCTCCTCCACAGCTTTCACAGTCGAGATCACCATCCCGGTCTGGACGTCAGTAACCTTCATACACCAGTCGGCACTGACACTGAGGACGTGTCGGCTATCTGAGGATGTAAAAATCGCAGTTGTTACTTTAGTCGTGGTTTCTAGGTGACCCTGTGTTTAACTGTCAATTGTTGGTTGGCTAAATTTGGAGGTGCAAGCCAGCACTAATTACTGTGATCTATACTGACCCTTCAAGACAAAAGCCACAATGCACCACCTGAAAGGCAGTCTCTAAGACTTCGGATCTAATAAACTAAACAAGAACCTCACCTCTTGCACTTTTTGTGAGGGCAGATGGTGTACTGTACACATATAACAGTTTCACAACTAAACACCGGCGAATAGCGTCATACTGGCTCTATTTGACACATACCTGGACTAAAGGCCGTGTGGTGGATGGTTCCAGTGTGGCAGTGGACTTGCTGCAGTGTTGCGTAGCTGCTGGTGTCCCAGATGGTGACGGCCCCATCTTTACAGCCAGAAACCAGCAGAGTCCCCGCTGGATTCAAACCAATGGTGTTCACCTGTACACGGGTGTGAGAGAGATTACATAGGGAAAACGAATCTGTATGTTTTGAGTGCTGCTGCCACTTTTCAGTGTTCAGACCCAACTCCCAACACGTTCAAACTCCTATGAATGAAGTCAATTAAAATACAGAGTTATCTTCCTCACTCACCCCAGCCTCATGCTCCAACTCGGCCAGTAACTGAAACTGGGATCTCTTGTGACTGGATGAGTTATCAGAAGCGCACTGCCAGACCTGTGAAATTACCAGCATCATCAACTCTTCCCTCTCAACTGAACACGCACATAACCCATAAAAGAAATACATGCACCACATATGTCTGCAACAATGATGCGATGTTAGCTGACATTTTATATTATTGGTATCTTTCACACTAAACTTGTCCAAATGACAAAATGCCTGATAAATTCATGGCTGGATAACAATCGAATAACCTCATGACAGTACTTGAGTGTTTACCTTCACGGTGGAATCCCAGGACGCAGTGTACAGCCGCTCATCAAACCAACACATCTCACTGACTGCATCATCATGACCCATCAGTGTGTCCTGCCGCCTGCCGAATGGGACTGAGTAGAAATAACTAAGGGAGGAGAAACATGTGGGTCAGTGTGTGCATATCATAATAAAAATCATATGTACGTAATAACTATACGTACACATTGTTGTCCCAGGAAGAGCACACCACAGTTTTACCATCTGCCAGCATCAAACATGATGATAATGCCTGTAAAATAGAAAAGTGGTTTATTGTTTGGAGAGAGTTCGACGGGACTAGAGGGACGGTGAATTGGAAAGTGAATCCAGCTGCATACCATGTTAGAGAAGGACATGCTTCTCTGGAAGTCCTTCAACTCTTTGGAAAACATTTTAAGGGTTGTATCTGGAATAAAGAGTGATACAGATCAGTACACTTTTTCCCACCAATGAGAAAACACTACAGTCAAGGAACATATGGCTTAAACTGAACTGTAATCAGTGCCTTTTGAACCAATCTGCAATCTTGTTCGCCCTTTCTACTTGTAAAATTGTAAAAAAGCGAATTGCAACTTTAAGTGTTGTGCTATTCCTTTAATTCCTGAGTGAAATTCTGACTGCGATGACATCACTTTGCACCACTATGGTAACAGAAGAACCCCAGAGGGCCACTAGAGGCAGACGTTGCCATAATGCTGAGCACATATAAAATCTCAGCACACAGTAACACTAAACTGCAGTCAGTGCCTGTCTTTTGATCTGTTTTTTTGTGCCTCTACAATAATCAATATCTGTCTCTTGATTTATTTAAGATATTCTCCAGACCTTGAGATGTGGAGAAAATAGCTGCTCCATCAAGAGACACAGCGATGCCCGTCACAGCCCTGCACATTTAACAGAAAAACAGAACATATGCATAAATATTCATAAGAAAAACATGGAGGGAAGGATCTACTTAGATTGCAACAGAAAAGGTTTCATAAGCAATGTTTAGAAATGTGAGAAAACACTTTTCTTCAGAGTGGTCGAAAGATTCTTTTTTCTTCTGAACTAGAGGAGTTTTACAGCAGCCATCCATCCACAGCTGCTCCTCCTAGACAAACGTCCTCACAATACATTTTAATAAGTTACTCTTTTCTGCAGCTGCCTGTCGCCTTCTCGCTTTGCTTGCACTTCCTCATATTTGAACCAGAGCTTTCACTTCAGTTATATCTGGACTAGCGATGCAATTATACCCGTACTTTGTCATTACTGTAGCCTCCTGACTTACTCTTTATGGATCTTGTGGCTGGAGATGGGTTTCAGATTTCCAATGTTTGCCCAGGCTAACTTCCTGCTCTCCTCGGTCAAGTCTTCGAAGGACGAGTCCTCACTCTGAGAGGCTGCAAAAGAGCACAGGGAGAACTGCAGTTAGGACACATGGAGAATAGAAAGTACATTTTCATAAAAATGTCATATGTATCACTGGAAATTAAATAAATCAGCAGTTATGGGCAGATTATTAAATTATTTCTTACTGGTAAAGAAATGATCCGTTGACAAATAATCAGTTTGGACCCATTTTTGTTCATAAACTAAGACCCTAAGAAATATGTCATGGATTGCATGTAAACACACCCACCTTCACATTACTGTAACAGGGATGATTCACTGAAATACAAATCGTATCCCAAAATGCACACAGCAAGAGCTCCATTCACAGAAAACTCAGACCACTGGCCATCACCACTTAGAGATATGAATCATCATCGGCACCGTTGGTCAGCATGACTGTGCACAGTCATGCTGACCAACGGTATATATATATTACCAACGGTATATATACCAACGGTATATATATTAATAAACTGCACAGTGTGCAGTTTACTAATATTATAACATGACCTTACATTTGAAAGTGCGGTTTCAGGTGTTGCTTCAATTCTTTTTTTTTTTTACTGTGTGTTTCTGCAATTCTACCTGAAGACAGGTCACTGACTGGTGAGTTGCTGCTGGGGCTTCGAGTTATGTTTTGAAACCTTGGCGTGATCCTCTGAGGGTGAGGGATGGTGAACAGCTGTTTGGGCGTCTGGCCAAACTCCAGGATCTGTGTCAGCATGGCGATTCTCTGGTCAGGGTCCTCAATGCTTTTCAGAGAATTGAAAAGTTAGTTCCATGATGTAATCTAAATTATCTTAAAAAATAATTTGTGAGTGATTTCCTTTAACACCTATCACAGTCGATGCCTCCTTCGTAGGTCAGTGGGTGAAACACTGAAAGATAATGACATAAATATGAGTCTTTGTCCGGCTTTGGTGAGCTTGATGTTGGTGAACGGCTGCTGTATTTTACCATTATGGGCTGCAAGAGCTTCACTGCCTCTCTGTTTAAAGCCAAACACCAGGTCAATCCACTCATGGAGGTGCTCCGACACATACTGACTCTCCAGTGCTGTTCTGTGCTTTTGAAGAAAATCGCTGGTGTCTGGAGTCGTGACAAACAGGACACAGTGAATATGAAGCAGCACACAGACTGAAAGCAATATTAATATTGTTAAACACAAGAGTTAGAGGGTCAAGAGTATCATGTTGTCAGGTGGATGTTAGCGTGGGGGTGAAGGGAGTATATGGCACCTGGGTCCAACAGAGTTTACATGCATATCATGGTCAGACGTGAAGAAGTTACCCGAGGCCCATAGTGGGAGAACAACGTCCCCCACTAAGCTCCCGTTCTGCCTTCTGCCCAAACCAAGCCTCAGTTTGTTTTCCAGGAAGCCGCAGTCATTCCCATAGAACTCTGGAATCAACTGCATTAAAGGAAAGGCATACAGACAAGGCAGACAAGTCATGAAGCATAATCTTGGACAGAAACCATATCAACACTGATACAGTACATGCATTTTTTCTTGCACCTCATTAAGAGCGTCGCAAACAGATAGTGCCTTAATCAACAACTGAATGGAAAAATTGCTTGGTTTAGACTTATACATAATGTAACGTTATGTATGTTACCCAGTTATGGTTGGGGTGCTTTCTGCATTGAAATTCTCAAAAACCTTCCACCTTCCTTATCTGACTTGTTCGTCACTAAAACTGCATCTTATCAAAACAACAGCAGCAAATTCAAGTGGCAAAATACTTGGTTCAGAATGCCATTTTCACAGCTGTGTCAAAAAATGATAACAATGACAAGCACAAAGTGTCTTGTCAGCATTATTGGATGATTTTTTCCCCTATTACATGTTCATGTGGTTTGACAGAACAACTGTGATTTGGCCGTATCGATAGGGCAAAATCTTCACTTCTAGTGTCTAACGGACATAATATACAGTCGAGTCATATTTTACCTCTTTGAAGTCAGTTGCCCCCTCTAAGCAGTTTTTCCATGTATCACCTATGCTGTAAGAAATCAATGCAAGTCAATAAATACCAATGTCTCAAATCAAACCTTTTTTTAAAGCTAAAAATACTACATTTAATTGATAATCATTTATGACAATAATGTGTTATCATTGAAAGATTTCATATTAATATGTATGTATTATCAGTTGTTTTTTTCCCCCCCTTAAACTGTGTCAAGAAATATTTTACGTTATATTGTCAGTCCCTCGAGTAAAATCTGCCTTGCACTGCTGATTTCATGGTTTATCAAATTTGAAGTAGAAAATAATGTACCTATTAAACATGCGATCTGCATGGTCATAGCGGCCATTCTGGAGACACAGCATGTGCTCTGGAGCTGCAGGGGAAAAGACAGTAAGCATTGACAAATTATTCGCTTCATTTTTCAGTAAAAGCAAAGATGTCAGCTACATATCATCAGACTCAAAAGACCCAGAATACATTTGCAATAGAAATGACCTAACCTTGTATTCGTTTAATCAGTCTCTAGATTGCTGTTGTGAAAGGTGCTCCAAAGAGATTAAAAAAAGAAACCAAGAAAAGGCCGTTTGATTTATTAGTTGTATTTAAGTTGTGCTTGTTTTGGTCTACATGGTGTGTCTTCAGGCTAAAACTATGACCGACATACTGATTATAATGAAGCTGCAAGAGCAATAATATTACCTATAGTATTAAATCTAAAACATGTTCATTGTGTAGTTTTTGAAGGCAAATGAAATTTGAAATGTACAAAGAAGAATTTCAGTTTGACATGGTAGTGTTAATTAATGAACCTGGTAAACTTCTACCAATCTACAACAAACGGAGACATTATTGTTACAGGACAGACAGGCGTGCAGATGAAAACAGACACAGTGGTTGAGCAGTGGCAATGAACATAAACTGTGTGCACTGTGCTTCCATACATGCTGTAGCTTGAATGACGACGTGTGTCACATACCGACTCTGACCAGGTAGAAGAGGACGTAGCCTGGAGAGGAGTAGTGGCTGCCATACATGAAGCGAGGTTCAGGCATGCCTCTGTAGCGAGCCTGTAACCATGACAATTGGGCGTTTACTGATACTCACAGTACAGAAACAATATGAAGCAAAACACTCAGCTACAGACATATCTATAGTATAGGTTACATCTGGAAAAAACACAGAAGCAGCAGAGTCTCACCAGCAGCTGGTCTAGTCGCTCTTTGTTTAGGGCTCCCACAGGTTTGTTCAGGTCCCTGAATGTGGCAGCATTTGTCAAATCTGGGAAATAGAAGAAGTCCTGACTATTATGCTACTGGTGCATGTTTAATATGGCTGATTATAGCAATATCAATCAATATAAGTTTGGCGAACAATTGGATGAAAAGTACAGTAATTGCATCTCAGAAGCTGGATGGGCACAGACCATGACCACCGTGGGCCTCTAACATGTTATGTAAATGAATGTGTGTGTATTTCTTTTCTGTTGACTCACCCAACCGTACGCTGGTGTAGTCAGCAATGACCCAGGGGAAGACGGGATACTGGGAGAGGTTGTTGCAGCTACGATCAGCCAGGTTGTTGAGGTGAAGAAGGTACTGGTAGTTGCTCAGGTGGCCGCGCTGCCACTGCAGCATGTAACTCTCTGCTGTGTGCTCGGTCACATGGTTCTCTGAGCAAGACGGAGGAAATCAGCAGGGTTCAGTTAGTCATGTGTTATGGGGCTTCACCAATATTGGTTTCAAATGCCAATATTCTGGATAAATGCTGAAAGCTGATACACATTTAGGCCATCAAGGGACTGTAAAACGTCCTCTGAAAGCCTGGCTACGTCATTGCATATTTGTCTCATGTTAGAGAGTTTTTAGTGACCTTTTGAGGGCCAGTAACTTACATTCATAATGCTTAATCTTCAATATTGTTGACCTTCTTGTTTTTAACATTGTTTAGGAACTCAAGGCACAGATTCACTACTGGTTTTGAGTTTTGCTCACCCAGGAACGTAGCAATGTAATAGTAGATTTCATCTCTATCAGTCGTCTTGTAAAACTTCAGGTAGATGTCAGAGCAGAAATCATTCTCCGTACAGAACACCTCAAGACCCTGGGCGAGGAGAGACATGCACACAGACATGGGCATTTGAAATTATTCAAGCCTTATTGACCACATTATTATCTATTTACTTACTCTGGCTGGTTGCACTCACCAGAGGTCTGAGTCCATGCCGTCTTTTGTAGATTCTCCTGACTCTGTGGAGTTCGATTTGAATGACCTGTTCCTGAAATGACACGTCACAGAAACACGATATTAGTACCTCAGCTCGATAACAGAACATGTCCACTCAGATGTGGCGGCTCACCGGATATCCATTGAGAGGCTGGAAGTAGAGGCTTTCATCCGTTATGCAGACGTGGCCAGGATTGGACACCAGAGGCATGACCATCTCCACTGCACACTCCATGTGAGGCTTCTCAGCAACACTCTGAAAGCTTGAAATCAGAATCCCACCGTTGTCTTATTCAGCTGCATATTAATACTACGACAGTAACTGTTTTAATCAATACATTTCATTAAATTGCGGCGGAACAGACAGTGAAATGTGAACTAAAGTGCTGAAGGCCACATACCAGTTTTTGTCAAAAGACGACCTCGCCAGTCGTGATTGTAAATTGGCTGCAATCTAGAAAAATACAAGAACTGTATGTTTGATCATGCATGATTATATGATAGTTACCAACAATTAACAAAAATCATGCGTAGCAAGAAGTTAGATTATGTGAATTAAAGTTTAAAAAAAGCACAATGGATCATTCGTGCTGATTTTCCATCATCATTCAGACTTTAGGTGCCCACTGTGTGCCTGAACTTTAAGTATTGATTGACTCACCATTGCAGTCTGGTCTCCAAGCTTTTCGAGACAGGAAGCTCTGTGGAGCTGCAAAATTGACCAGAGTCAAAATGAGCAGAACAGCACTAACGCACACCACAGCAGCACATGCCCAACTTCATGCATTACCCCAACTGAAGCACAATCTAACCTTTATCAAAATACTCCAATACACCGATTCCCATGACTCTGAGGTAGTAGTGGACCTGGCCACGTCATGCAATGTAACCCCCAACCTGAAACCCCCAACCTGGAGCCGCTACTGTTTGGGAGCAGCTACGTACCTGAAGTAATGTTTGAACGACATCTTCGGTTTTACTCCAACCTTCCAACTGGAAAGTCACTTTATTTGGCCCCTGCAAAGGTGATGAGATAAGTTTAAGTGTTTCATTTGAAGAAATTAGTTCTCTGCACTACTTCTTCTGCACTTTTGTTTTGGTTGAATGTTTCTGTGTGGCTTCAACCAATTCATTACAGATCTTAATGTTGGCATGATAACGTAATAGCTGAAACTTTACTGTTTCAGTGTGGGAATTTGCATGACAACAGGACTTAAGCACAGAAGACCCAACCTTGTACTCAAATATGACTCCTGGAAAACACTGCAGCAACATATCCGAATGGTTCAAATCCACATTTGGATTTTATTTGAGGCTGCGACAACTCAAGTGTAACTGATTGTATTTCACACACTATTTAAGCTCAACGGGACCTTCACCGTCCACATGTTTTCAAACAGAGAAAACAAAAAACATAAGTGCACAGATTGCAGATTTGCTTGAACAGATTTTCATACTACAGAAACAGGTGTAACAGGTAACACTCATATACATATGAGGACCTCTGTTGAGATTTAGTTCACTCACCCTTTCATTTCTGTAAGGTGCTATGACATTACTCTCTTTGATGTAAATAACCTGAAATTACAGTGAAAATGAAACGTGTGGTGTTACTTTGAAAAGATGTCATGACAAATAATGAGCAGCTGTAACAATTAAAGATGATAACTGTGGACAAATGAAACAACAAACTATTACCACAATGAGGAGTGATGCATCTTTGAAGATCAATATACTGTATGTAAAAAAAAAAAGAAGATATTTACATTTTAATGATGACTCACCTGTACACATAAAATAGAGATGGCCGATGGCCTCGGTCTATGAGGAAAAAACAAACAAGTTAAAATACCAAAAACTCCCTGTAGTTTCATACTTTATTTAAATTACTTTCTAAAAGGAATGTTTGTAGATGTACAAACTGCAACAGACAAATGTGACTCATTCTGCCTTAACATTTCGCAGGCCAGAAGTTACCAGACCAGTTTGACAAACTGAATAAACATCATCATGTGAGCTGAGCTCCAGATGAAAACATGCTCACTCATTGAAGGGGTTGTACTCTCTGTGCACAAACTCAATCTTCTTACAGTCTCGAAGAGGAATCTGCAGAAACAGAGATAAATAATGATGCATCATAATTCAGAAAGGCCTGGTCACTAAATCTAGTGCAAAACACACGATGCACAATATAACGGGCATGCAAAACATGCAATAGAATGTAGTGTTGTCGTGTTGAATACTGGCTGTAATATATAGAGAGCCATTAGTACCATTAGTTCTTATATCTTCAGTTTGTAAGATAATATTATTGGAAGATGGTTTCCAATTTAGAAGAAGTTTTACAATTTATGGCAACTTCATTATTGTTTTATATCTCATTTCCTGTTTTGTTAAAAGAAACATTTTATCTGGATGCAAGAGTTAAAAAAAAAAACAGACATAATATATAATTATACATAAACACATTACTAAAACAAACCTTTAAAATTGGCTCTTCAGGATCCTCTGGATCAAATATGACAGATCTGGAACAGACCTTGAACGAGCCTCTGACTTTTCTGGAAGGAAAATAGCTAGCATTAGCTCGTTAGCACTGTTAGCCACGAGCCCGTCTAGTTAAATATAACCACAATGACACTATAAGGACTGTAATAAAGAATAAAACAAATATAAACTGAAACATGGATTATTATTGTGCGTAACAAGGAAACATATATAATATAAAGCAATACTTAAAAATGTAAAAAAGTGGGGAAACAATGCTAATTATATCGTACATTTCTCCTCAGCCAGAATAAATTCAAACAACAGTTCCTGAAACTAGACTTTGCAATAAGTGTAGAATAAATGATGCTTTGTATGGCTCTCATCTGGTCTCGTGCTGTAAAGCAACCCAGCAGATTTCTAGACTAATCTAGCATGGCAGCAAAATGTGCTGACTGGTAGAAATGAGCAGAATTATACTAATAACACAAAGTAAATAGGCAAAAGACACTAATATCACTGTAAAGTTCATATCTGTCAGTGGAAAACACAGCTTTTCACATGAATCTATCCATTCTGCTTATTATACACACACTGCACCTGCTTTGACAGGACAATAACACTAAACCATCTGAATAATCTTATTCTGAAAGGCTTGTGACTTGTTTTTAGTTTGTTCAAGCCTTGTTAATAACAGGATACTAGGATGTTTGAACAGCTGCTGCACATTTTAAAGGCTTTAACTAAATACCAGTACCTGAAAAACCCTGATAAGTACAATACAAGTGCTTTAAGCATATCCACATTTACAACTTATTTGGTCTTTCACACTATTGAGTTTTGGCTGAGGTCACAATGTGGTGATCAGGACTATTACATAATATGACAGAAAAGTTTAAACAAATAAATTACAAAATAATAACTGCTGACCCAAGCAGACAATTCAGAGAAATACATTCATATATCTCACATACCTCTCCTTTTTTGAACTGGTTGTCACATGGTATGCAGTGTGCTGTTCAAAATAATATTCCTCTAAATCCAGCAACAGGAGAGAAAATCTAGAAGAAAACAACAGAGGAGAGTGAGTATCTCTGATTGTGCGGCATCAATTAAGATTGTTTTCATGATTGCACTATTGTTATAGGAGTGCAATGCTAAATCTGTGTAGTACTCTTAATATTTGAGATGCGGTCAAAAGTTTTAGTCTATCAGTAATATGGTTTATACAGCTTTAAAACATATTTGAACCCATATATGATCCGTTGAAAAACACACAAACTGTAAATTTTCATTCATTTTAACTTCTGCATGTGTAGCTAAAACAATCTGAATAAAAACTAATGTACCTTTAATTAATTGTAAATACCAAGTCCAAGAAGCCAAAAGGTAACTGTTGGGATGAAGTGCTTATCTGATGCCACTGTACATGGCGTTTCTAGATATTGAGACAACATTTCCCGTAAAGCTTTTAGCTTCATGTACTTCCTGCTCATCCCTACTGGCTACCGGTTTCTTTCTTTAGCCTTTAACCCTCCACAATGTCCAGAAATGCTGAATATTTAACTTGTTTGCACTGGACAAACGTTAGCCTCTTGCCATCAAATCCAAACCCCGATAACAAAATGATTACGGTCACAAAACCTGTACAATACTATGAAGACTTACAGGATCAGTGTGAAATATCTCTGCAATAGTGCTTTAAAAATACATTACCATTGAACACTAATGTAGTTTCCGGTGCCTGACATGCTCACTTCCTTCATTTACATAACTGCATATTTATCTGGAACCAGCCGGAACTTTCTCAAGAATAACATCATAAGCACATTGTAAACTATAGTGAGTGGATGTTAACTGCTGATATATTTAGACTATAAATGACTAACAAACCAGTATAGGAAATGAAAAGATACTTTAGAGCCCTGTGAAATGTCCGCCCTCAGCAGATGAATGTGAAAAGAAGCACACACATCATTCTGCACAGGGGAAAAGCTTGTGATGTATGTTGTTGGTAAGTGCAAAGTGAGTAAGCATGCACATTAGTCAGAATGATCCCAATTATGTGAATAAAATGCAGTTTATAAAGTACTAGAAAAAAAAGTTTCTTTTTCAACGATTCAGTGTCTTCTAAACTAATCTATGTCCTTTCTATATGCTCCCCTATAATGCACTTCGCTATATCGCTCTATGGGGACACTCATACCAGTTGTACATAATGTTGTTGCTCCTGTCTCGAGGTCTCGAGTGTGTTTTTTTTAAGGTTCAAGAAGATCATACGATAATTCTAAAAATAGGTTTTATGAGTTCAAACGGAGGAGACATTGGACATTTCTACTTCATCGCTTCACTACTGGCACACAGCCACAGACTAAACTCCTGCTCCTTACCGAGGACACTCGTCGTGCCTTCGGTAACAAGGGTGCACCACACAGCTGACATTGAAGCTCTCATTAGCGGAGTGGCCCAGTCTGACGGTATACTGTAATACGATTCATCCACACAGTCGATACAAACACGCCGCTGCTGGTGCGGAGCTCGTGCTGGACCCACAGAATGACCCCCCTTATCTGCAGTGTTGTGTTAACGATAAGATAAGCGGCACACACCTTGCTTTAGTTCGCTCTTGCGTCTTTAAAAATGCCATGACTTCACACCATTCTCGTAGAAGCTGAACGCCGAACAGCCACACAAGTCTGCTTACATCTCTGTAAACACGGAAACCTGCCGCCCACCACGTGACTGACTCACAGACAAATGATCCATTAACAATGTAGAGAAAAGAGGGCTCACTCTGACACCATTTCTGGAACCATAACTACGTAACAAAATTTGCCCAGGCTGAGGCATCCTTAATTTATCAATAACAACATTGACGTCATAGTATTTCTATTTTGATTTTGATTATCTGTCAATGATTAAACATTTTTCAAAAAACAAATAGAAAGGCCTAATGCTTTTGGTGTTGCCATTAAAGTGTAGCACAAATACATTACATACATCAGTGCATTGACTGACTGTAATTACTAATCTAAATACATAGAAATATTTTTATCTATAGGACACATTACAGATGATTTTTAAGCCAAATGTGCCTGTTTTTGTCCCACTTTTTTGCATTTACTTATTTATTTTTAGTTGTTTATTTATTTACTTTTTGAGATATTTAATTACACAATTTTAGTGCAAAATTATGCCAAAGAGGAAAGCTATTCCTTAAAGTGGCACTAGAGTGATTTAGTATGGCACTTCTGTAAAGTTAATAAGGCACTCAAAGGGGCAGATCTATAAAGAATGGTTTCAATGAATACAGCAGAGGTCGAGACAGCCTGACATTTGTTTTACTTCAAAGAGGATAAAGTTCCAGAGTTTCTCTTTCTGACTTAGGGCTGCAACTAACGAGTAGTACCGTTGTTGGTTCATCTGACAAAGTTTATATTTTTGATTGATAATTTCTTCTCTGAAATGTCAGAAAAACAGTGTACAATGTTTATTATAATTTTCCTTAAAATAAATAGTTTTGTCCAGCCAACAGTCCAAAACCCACAATATATTACAAGCTTCACATACATAGTATTCATCATAAGAATTTTACTTTAATTATTTTTGTCAATTAAAATGTTTTATTTTTATTTACTGTTTTTCTATTTTAAAATGTATTTTAGTACTTTGTGTATGTTAGTGTATGAAATGTACTATAGAAATAAAGTTGATTCGTATAATTACATTCAAATTTATATAAAATTAATATATAACAAATCCTCATGCATATTTGCATGAAAAATTGCTCAAACTTAATGAATCAAGCTAGCTGTCAACAAATTTTCTGTCAATCTACTTTTAGACGAATCGACACTGAATCATTTTTAGCACTACTATGACTCCATACAGATCCTGGGGTAGGCCACATGTAGTATTCGTTATTAGTCGAAATGCTTTTGTTTTATTTTGTATATATTCAATACTTATTCATTGCAGATTACCCTGCAGAGAAACGACGAAAGCCGCCTTCATGAAGCAGCGTGATTCACATTTGGGACCAGTGAACGATCATCCCAAACATTGACGTTCTTTGTCTCACAGCGTCTTGACGTGTCATCACAGTGAGAGAAGTTTCCTATCTTGAAATGTCTCGAGTTTGAGACAGAGTTCGTGTATTGACGCTGAATAAAAGTATTATTAGTTGTTAGGAATCATGTCCCTGCTGCAGTGTGTCGGAGGTCAACATGCAGTGGAGAAGACACATCACTGGCCTCGCTTTCAGTTTTGTATTCGTTGTATCATATTTCACGAATAAGGTGAGTTTGAGTCGGATATGGTTTTATCTCAACTCCAAGTAAAAGTACATATTTCAAGCAAAGTAAAAAAAAAAAGTGACTTTAATGCATCGATTTAATTTATAACTGTCACACTAGATCTTTTTTTATTATTATTTTGCAGCGTACAAGCAAAGCAATTGACAGCAAGGCTCCATTTAAATTCTTGTACATCTCCCAGTGTGGAGAACGTGACTCATCTCTGTGAAACTTTCAGAAAACTTGCAATGTAACCCTCATCATCAGCAATAACCATGAAGTGATCATCATTCAAGAGTCTTCTCGGTCTGCTGTAACTAATCAAGCATGAACATGACCCATCAAAGCAACGACCAACCACTACTGACTGTATTAACACATCCTCAACCTCAATGTTGGCACAAAACAATAGAAAAGCAATAAATTGTAAAAAATGACATGTTGTTGGATGTACAACGCACCGAATTGAAGAGTGAATCCCCCCCATACATTCAGAGTTTTATTATACCAAATAAGTGTCTTTGTGCTGATTATGGACACACTGATTTGGCAGAATTTTATATTTTTTTGGTGCCAGTGGGAGTATTTATTTGTACCCAAATAAGTTAGACAAGTAACCACACTGGCTAGCTTATGATAAACTCATGACCTTAAGTATATTTTTCTTTTTTGCTTATTTTTTTCAGTTTGTCCTGTCAGTGTTGAAATTCACCTATCCTACGTTATTTCAAGGGTGAGTACAGGTTCATGCTGTATCAGTTCATCGTCATTACAGGTGTAGGCACATTGAAAAATGCTTTAAAAGGTTCCCTGTACGATATTCAAAGAATCAATACAGCATCGAACAACTATTTTTTATTTAAATTAATTATGAATTTTTAAAAAGCTATACATTTAAATCTAAAGCTGCATCTTGATTATTAAAATGGCCTGCATATTTCCAGATGGCAGACATTTATCGGGGCTGCCTTGCTTCTACTCTCTGGGAAGTTAGGATGGGTGGAAATGAGCCGCATCACCAGGTACTTTTTTTAAATATACTATTGGAGTAATAATACTTGAGTGTTTTCAGTGGCTGCCAATAAGCACTTGGATGATTAAGAGCTTTGTCTGATCTGTTGTGTCACAGGTCTGCAGCTCTTTCCTGGCTTCCAGGCTCCCTCCTCTTTGTGGGAAACATATATGCTGGTTCCAGGGCCTTATCGCGCATTGTACGCCATATAACCTATACACATTTAGATGCAGCAGGTTTTCAAATGCACTCATTCTAGATAATCTAGTAGGTTGTTACCATGCTCAGCATTTACAGTTGGGATATAGATCTAAAATCCTTGTTTTTCTTTTTCTGTAGGACATTCCTTTTTTCTTCACTCTTCAGAATTCCTCACACGTTGTTAGTTATATAATCTTGAAGGTTGTCAATCGACAGGAGAAGACACAATGGCTGAAATTAATCAGGTTTGTGCTTTTTTCCGTTTTTCCTTCACCTGAACTGTACGTTTTATCCAGATGGAATGCAACTGGAAGCATTTGCTGCAATGCTTCATATGGCAAGGACACAAAGGTTGCAGGAGATGGGATAGCACAAGGGAACACACCGCATTTTAGTTGTAAAGGAGCTTTATGGTAATAACAATGATGTTATTACCACAAAGCACTTTTCTAGCAAGATTCTACTAAAAAATACAAAACTCAAAGATGAAATATTCCCTTTCACATGACTGCATCTTTGAATATGCTTCTTTTCGTAGCATATGCTTCATTCTGCTCTCAGCCATCAACCTCCCCGTTCATGATCCTCAGGTAATAATTCATCATCATCAAATGGGGTATTACTTATTACAACACCAACATTTTAACAATCAAAAATCTACTCGTGTTTACATGTTTGCTTACTCTGCAGTTTGACTACAGCGGTTACCTTTGGGCTGTTGGCCATCTGCTCTGTGTGGGTAGGTCTAAGACTATACAGAGATGCTACGCTGTTAACTGCAATAGCTCAGGAGTTACATAATGAGAATAATAGCAGCTTGAGGTTTGAGCCTTGAGGGACGCCATAGATAATTGGAAGAATGGCAATAATCAGTAGAGGCTGAGAGTGTAACGGCATCATGTACTCTTTCAGGTGCATACAGGGTGTTTCAAGGTCACTACAAATCCAGTAATTTGAGGTACGTGGAAGCACAATGATGGAAAATATCAGTAAACATAAACACTTTGCTTGAAACTGTTTCTTATCTGTGCCTCTGTTCCTCATCGAACACAAAGTGACTTTTTTTATTTTTTTTTAGCTTAAAGTTGTTAAACCACTCTGCTGATGAAACCATATAAGGAAATACTGCATTTGTTTACCCAAACTCACACACTTAACTTAAAAGCAGTTCACTGAGGCAGCTCCTTTTTGTGATGTTTTCCCTGTAGTGACCTTGAACAACATTGCATCAACTACTTGTTCAGGTAAGAATAATAAGTACTTCTTAATAACTGGATTTTGGGCATAATAAGCACAAGTTAAAGATGGAAGGTTTTACAATGTCGTAAATGTCGTAAACAATAATAATTCTCTTTCTCAATAGATGTAGACCTATATTCATGTCCTACTTCTTTTACTTGAGAAGGGATTTCAAACTACATATAATAGCTTACTTACCGACGATATTTGAAGAAAACCTTATTTTAATTAAGTGATTGTAAAAGGTGAATTGATTTGCGTGTGCATCCAGAGAGGCTGTAGTGATGTAACAAACACAAAAGTGCAGCTTCAGGTATTCTCTTGCTAATTTTAGCTTCTTCTGCCTTTACATAACAGCGTACTGCTGCTGGCCATTGCAGCCCACCCAACAGGTATGAATATGAATGAGCATATTTCACATGGTGATAAAAGTTGCAACAACCCAACGGAGGTTTTACGGTCTACATTTGTACCCCGTAAACAGATCTTTGTCCCTCTAACAGGTGACCTCACGGGTGCCTTGGAGTTCCCCTCCCTTCAGTCGTACACATTTCACTGTGGTTGCTGTGCCAGGTGAGACATTTCAGTCACATGGTAGTTGTTGTAAGCACTGAAAAATGATTAGAGCTACCTAAATAGTACCTATGAACATTTGGCTGTGCCAAATAATCTTCTAGGTTAATGTGAGAAGCAGCACTAGTAGAGAATACATCATACAGTGTTGAAATAGAACATGCTTTCGGTAGCAGCTGACATGTCAGACTTGAGGGATATCAGAGAAATCCTTTTATATGTGGAGGCCCACAGATATAGTTAAGTAGATCTGTGTTAGAAAGTTCTAGTAACATGTTTCAGCATCAACAATTATCCTTTTAAGTTTTAATTTCTATGTTAGAAATTCCTTCCGGCAGGGAAGCCGTGACACTCCTTTTCAAAAGAAGGATATTTGTAATTAGGGAACAAATATTTTATCGTCTGTTTTCAGCACGATAACTCACCTCAGTCTCATTCCACAGTGCACTGCTGGGGTTTTTGTTGCTGCTGGCAACAGTCAAACTAAAAAGTGGATTGTCCCTGGAGCACTTCGGGGTCTGGATCTTCTTGTCCAAGGTGATTATACTGTATATCATATGGTTTTCTTTTTTCCAATTTAGGTTTAACAGTATGTTATGGTTGAATTATTAATTATTAACCGTGGCTCACTGGATTAAGAGGGTCGTCTGGTAACCGCAAGGTCAACGGTTCGATCCTCGACTGGGATGTGTCACGTGTCGAAGTGTACCTGAGCAATACACTGAACCCCAGGCTCCCCGGGCGCCTGTCATATATACAGGGATGGGTCAAATGCAGAGACAAATTTCCTCCTTAAAGGGATCAATATAGTATATTAAATTTAAAAAAATGGTGCACTTGACAGAAACTTGTATCCAAAGACATCACTCATCATAATTCCCACAATCAAAGGACTGAGTGATGTGTTTGAAATGTTTGACCTCCTTCCAGATTACTGCCATGTCCCTCTCCCCGTTCATTTTCTACATGGACATGAATGCTTCATCTCTGATTTGGTAAGTGATCCTAGGTACTGAGATGTGTAGATCGGTTATTATCAAACCATGAATGACTTCTACGGTTTCTTTTCCTCTGTTTGGTTGCAGTGTGGTGACCAGTCATGTCGGAGAGGCCCTGCTGGTGTACTCTCACAGAGACTCTCAGCTGGGATGACATAGTCGCAGCTCTCCGGATTAACCCACAGCTTGCACGCTGAAGAGATTCTTTTTACCTAGAAAATGTTTTTATTTTTGCGCTGACAATCTGACCAAATAAAATTTGATTTTTGAACACATTGTACTTGCTGTGTGCTGTCATTTTGCAACCCACAGTGACATCTCCCTGAATGAGGCGCTGCAGCAGTCGAAGTAAAGCAGAGTGGATTTCTCAGGTCATTTACATCGCTCCATAGACAGTTATTTTTATTTATCCAAACACACAATCTAGAAGATCTTACCTAAACACAAAGCAGTCAAACAGTCTACACATACATAAAGAACATCGACATTATAGACATGAAACTGAAAATAAGACGACTAGAGGTCAACATTCTTAACGAGGGTTAAAACAGAGATTCATTGTACACAGTGCAGTTTTAACACAGTGACAAGCCTGCTCTTTATAAACTGTAAATGGCCATTTCAAATAGCTCTTCTTTCAAAAACACACTTTTTTTTTAGCTCTCCTGCTGGTTTTGCTTCGGGGAGAATAAAGCATTGAATGGTTGTCTTCTCCGAGTACGTGCCTGAGGATTCTGCTCTTCCTTGATATAACCTACGAGGAAATTATATCTCAGTATCTCTCTGTCATTCTCATGAATTTGACATCATTACGGGATGCTGATAACACTGACCACATTGCTAGAATGACAGTTAAATGATCCCTGAAGGTGTTAAAATGTTCTGCTAATGCTTCACCAACCACGTTAAATGGATGGTTTAACTCAAAAGTTAAAAGAATCGGTTAATTACCTCTTTCAATGCATGTCTGAGTCGATGGGAATCCAACTTCCCAGAAGTTTTCAGGAGTATTAGGAGGAATATATAAAAACCGGTGCCTCGAGCACGCAGATAACTTTTTCTGCTTTGCCTCTTCCGGAAGATGGGCGTAATACTGTTTGAAATAAACATCAAAATAGGCTCAGCGATGAAGCGTGTCAGTGTTTCTCGGCTTTACGGTCTAAATACTTACAATTTCACATTCCTTACAGGTAGCGCCCTTCAGTTTTCTTCTCTCGTCTTTCTTGCGAACCACAGCCATGTGTGCGAATGTTGAACGTCTAATCCAAACGGACAACATGTAGATTGAAGGAAATTGACAATGTCTGCGAGACTGGAAAGATTTTTCTGCATAAAATATCCCACAAGATAACAACGTTGACCCCCCAAAAAAAGCAATCAAAAGCCCCTGCCTGTAAGGCTGATAGGGTGCTTCTTACCGTGCCTTGTGCCCGTAACTTTGGCTCATCGTGTTTTCATGAGGATCTTGTTGATCTTGAGATTAAAACGAGGGCATGAGCACAAGTGAAATTCATGAAGGGACATCCAATGACAAACACAGAAATGCTGGTCAAATGACACGATGACGAACACAGTTTAGCTCAATCTGAAAGCCTACCGTCGTCCTCTTCTCCTGCTTCATCATCACCACACGACTGGCTCTGGCCCAAGTGTGAATTGTTGCAAGACTTGTACTCCCCGTAAGCTGTTGTGTCAAACATCATATCCAAACTGTCGTTCGCCTTCTCTCCCAGTCCTAGAGAAGCAGACAGATAAGACCCATCAGCTTGTGTGTAACCACACCGTAAATCAAAATAAGTTATTTTAAAAGTTGTAGCTTGTAGCTACCAGACACACTGTCCCTTCTGTCCCGGACGTTTTCTCCCCGACACTGGAGGAGGCTGTGACTGACCCAAGTGCGGTCGGAATCTACTAATTCTCCATGACACTCTTCTTCTTCTTCTTCTTCTTCCTTTTGCTAAAATATAGACAGTGATACAGATAAACAGCCTGGTGTAAGACAACCATCCATCCAATACATCCATTTGAACACACCCAAAGATTTCAGATTGGAGGATTTTCATGTTCACATGTGCTCTTAAAAATCATGACATATTTCGAATCACAGAAACGTGTCGTGAACAGAAACAGTGGTCACAGGTGGACACACTCTCCAACTGGCTTGATATTTGCTAAATGAAACGGGTCAAAAACTTAATAACTCGTGGTAACATGTTGACTAATTGATATACAAATGTTCATTTTGTGGGTGAAGTATTTCTTTGAGTCATAAACACAGGAGAGAAAACTATTTAGATCAGACTTAGAAAATGTAACACCAGATATTTTTTTTTCCCACACAACAATAATAAAGGGCGTTTAAAAAAAATTCATAATGCATTTCAGTTCAGCACGATACAGCCATAGACTGTGTATTTATAGCTAAAACAAGGCACAGGAATCCAGCAACTGTTGTACATCAGGTCATGTGACTTTACCTCGTCTCCTCTCCCCTCACTGTCGAACATGGACAGGGCGAGCGCAGGGTCAATGCTCCACATGGGCTCCACTTTGAGCCACGTTCCAGCTGGGAAAGCAGAGTTAGTACGCTCACATTCAATTCAATGGACTATAAAGAAAGCCAACAATCAGAAAAAAAAGAAAATGAGCGATGAAACGACACACTCGGGCCAGCAACAGGACAGAACGCTGACCTTCCTTTCCTTTGTGTCGGTCATGTGAGGCGTCCAGATCCTGCTGGGGGGTTCCTTTCTTCCCGACACCATCCTTGTTTGCTTCTCTATCATATAGCTTCTTAAAAGCAGCACTTATAGAGGACACATTTGGTCTTTGGTTGGAGGTCCCATTTTGTGCTGACTGATCCTGTTAAATGTTAAAAGAGTCACATGACAATTTAAAACCACTCGGAGGAATTAAATCCTAATTACCATGCTTATATATAATAGCCACTTGTATTGGACACATCTCTCACCTTGCTGTCCACCAGCCACTTCTTCAAGCCTTGATTGCTTAAAGGTGTGGAGCTTTGTTTGGTCAGTTCAGGTTGTACGTGTTTGCCTTCCTTCTGTTTGTCCACCCCTTCCTCGATTCCTTGCACCTCCGGCTCACTTTCCTCTTTCTTCCGTTTTGTTTTGTTATTGGAGCCCTCCCCTGAGAACCTTTTGACACTTTGGAGAAGTGATGGGGACTTTTCTGTGGCCGTGTCTGGACCGCGGAACAGCGTTGATAAAAGGGATGAGCGGTAAGGTCTTAAGGGAAACAAATATGATTATTGGAATGCTTTTTTGCATGGGAGGAATGCGGGAAAGTGGAGTAAAACCTTGAAAGCATGGTGATATTGTATTGTAGTTTTGAAATCTAAAAGATTAAAAGAGAATTACGACAATTCATGGGGGGGTGAGGGGTCGGGGTTAGCAGCCTGCATTGCTGTCTGCCACAGCGTCTTTTTGAGTTTGAAATGATAACTCATGATACTATCCAACATAACCAACTTTATTCATCCTTACTTTAAACGAAAGCCATGCTTCCTGGAAGGTTTTGAGCTGCTCTGCTGACCTGCCGTCGTCTCGGTCTTCTGAGAAAAGACAAAAAGGAAATTACAGACACAGGATTATATCATTTGCTAATTAGCATTAAACAAGAACAGCTGATGTGGGTGTGATTGATATTAGATACACACACAATCTCTCTAATAAGCATGAAGCCTTCCTACCACGTGAGGCTCGCCAATAAGTTCAAGGCCACAGGTTTCTGCTATCGCTTCTTCCAGGTTTAGATTCACATCATCTGAACAGAGACAGATACCCAAAAACACCTTTACACACGTCACAGAAACATTTCTATCTTCTTAAAACTAAAAACTCCAAAAAGTATCATCATGTCTACCATCCCTGCCGATCTATGATGCTTCATATCACAGTTTTCATCAATCAGTCCTCCAAGTAGAGAGGGCTTAACACTTGAATCTGCAGCAACGCCTCTTTCTATGCAGCACCACCGTCTGAATTAGGCTGATAGGATGGGTGTGCATGTAGAGATAAATGTTGCCCAGTGCTCATCTAGTACTTTGAGTTATAGACAAGTTCTAAAGGAAGGAAATATATATGGTTTCCAATTCCTGTTCTCTTAGAAACTAGAAGTAGTCTTCCTGTTTTCATATTTCTTATTTATGAAATAATGATGATATAATAGGAGTACAGGGGATGAAGTCATACTTGAGATTTGGGATGTGTCCAATTCACATGTGTTGGGTACAAGCATTTGTGCTCTTCCAGGATTCTTTGTAGCGTCAACAGGCTCCTCATCCAGAACTTTAAAAACAGAACCAGACCCGTTAGAAGACTTGGTGCATTCAGACATCTGGATCAGAAAACAGTTTCTTTAAAGCTGACTGACCAATGAAGAGCGACTTGTTTGGTAGAGGCATCTCTGCATAACGAACGTGCTTCATTTTGTTGATATCTTTTCGTTTCTTCAGTTTGTTTGCAACAGGCAGCGAGCTCGTCAGGATTGGCGAGTCTGGGATGATGCTGTCTTCTTGTTCCGAGGATGAGGCCTGCTGGGGCTCTAAGCTGATAAAAGAACAACACCTGCAATATTTAACTGGAGCTTTAAGCCTGTGTCAGGACACTTGAAACCTGACTAGTCAAAGCAGAAGTGAAACCACAACGATACAAAGGGCAACTTTTACAAAAAACAGCTGATGAAATATAGAAAATTGCATATATTTTTACAATGTCAAAGAGAACATGTAACACACTAAAGAGCTTACCGAGACATCTTTACTTTTTGGAGTTCAGCATGTAGTTTTCTGTTTTCATCCTCGAGGCTCCCTCTTTCATTCTCTAGGGAAAAACACCACACACACACACACATCACCATCAATAACATAATGGTCTTCAACATGCTAGTAGCCATAACTGGTGGTACACTAGTATGGTCAATATAAACCCATACTATGCAGTAGTAAGTACCATGGATTCTCTGCAATCAAGACTGTGCTAGCAGCTCTGTGAGGCTGTATTTAGGCACTAGAATGCTAACATTAGCTGATTAGCACTAAGAACAAAGTACAGCTGAGGCTGATGGGAATGCTATTAGTTTTGCAGGTATTTGGTAATAAACAGTAGTACTGCACCAATTGAATTGTTGACTTGATAATGGCACTAGAGGAACTGTTGATGTATTTACAAAGAGTTTAAGACTCATTGTCGAGGTAACATGAATGTGTGACCAAAAATGTCATGGTAATTTATCCAACAGCTTTCGAGATATTTCAGTACGGACAAAAATGCTAGACCAACCAACGTTGCCATCCCGAGAGCAGTGCTAGCGTGGCTAAAAACGCAGGCCTGAGAAAACTTAACAGGCTTCATGTCGAAAATACCACACCTAAAGGCACGGATAACCTCTTCAAAAATAAACCCAACAGCATGGTTCTCTGATTATTGGAAAGCTGACAAACAAGGTTATTCACGGTTTCAGGAAGCTATTTTGGTCCATAATGAATACATATGCAAAATTAGGTGTTTTTTGCCCTCAAATCTTAAATGTATAAAAAACTGTGAGCCCGCTATCGGTTGAGCAGCAGACTTTGGAGCATATGGTGGGTTGGTCAGTCCAACACATGAAGTCTTGATGTTGCCTTCAGTTTCAACAGTGGTGGGCCGTCAGGGCCAGCAAAGCCTTCTCTGGTGGCCTAGACACTGACAGAATCACAAAGTTATAGCTATTTTATAATTGAATTATTTTTCACAAATACACTACTTGTATTCTAATCATTGTACAGCTACTGTCTTCCTCTGTTGCCCTGCTTCCAGCACAGCTTGTTTTAAGTCCAATCAGATTTCTTCCCTGTGCTGTCTCTAGGTAAAACAATCTGCCCGAGGCCTGCAGAATTACAAGTGAATCCTTTTGCAGTTGAAGTAAATGGGGACGATACTGTTGAGTGTCTTCAACAAAACATTTTCAGCCCTCAAACGCATTAAAACGTATTCAAGAAACACAACTGGGGAGGCTCGACTGTCTTCACTGGCGTCCATGAATGGAGAAGGACTTCTTACTGCAACTGAACCGATGTTCTGTACAACCGCGTCATTGAACTCTTTGTTAACAAATAAAGGAGGATGGACTTTGTCTTTAGTGAACAGCAGCTTTGGTAAAGTGAACCGATTTTGTTTTACATCTGCAGTAGCGTTACTACTGTGTTAATGTTTCTATGGTTTCTATATTGTTCCCTCTGATGTGAATAATATTTGAATGGTGATCTTGTCTGTGGAAAAATGCGTGTTTTAGCGCCGCAGTGTTGCTGGAATGTGCAGAGGCTTGTTGAATCATGTTATTTGGGTTTTATGTTATTCTACCTGCTTTGTTGTCATATAAATATATGTGACTGGTTCTGCATTGCCCGTTAATGACGAAGCATCCCGTCATGCGGTAATGCTTCGTGATAATGCATGAGGTTATTAGGAGGTGGTTCAACTGTAGTAGGACAGCACTGAAGGCCCAGGTATAAAACACACGGCACGCCACTGGTTTCAACTCAAATGTTACTTCACTTTTCCCATTTGTTTATCATCAGATGACAACATTTTTTATTTTATTTAATTGAAATTACATCATTAAGGAAACCCCAGTCAGCAAAAATGTGCAGTGCAATCATGTGAAGGTGTGAAGATCTTCAAGAAGAAGTGCCATGCCCTGACCTTTGTCCTGGAAATACATTTGAAAGTGATTAAGATTTCTAGTGCCTGGTAAAGTTCTCGCCTGACCAAAATGCAGCTTCAGAAATTCAGTCTCAGCAAGCAGCCATAATGAGTAGTGGATATTATGAAGTATTCCACTTCAGCAGCGGGGATATTGTCCTTAGCAAAGAGGTACAATTAATGTTTCTGTGTTTGATTATTTTCTTTTATAAGCAGTTAATGTATTATTCTCAAAGTGATTCAAACATTGGGACAAAGTGTTAAAGTAGAACATAAGTGTTTTTTTCTTTTTTTTACAACAGGAAGGGTGTTGAGCTGCAGTTCGTCACTTCTCTATCTGATAATGGAATAATAAGAATAATGAGCAAACTTACTCAGTTTGGCAATGAGACGCAAATTCTGATCCTGGTTATTTTTTAGGTCCTCCTCTAAGATGGCGCATCGATCACACTCTCCCATACAGAGCCTGGAAACAGTGAAACAAGTTGCTGGTCTTTGTTCCATATTGTTTCTGACAAAGTCAACCTGTTGGGAATGAAGTTACCTTTCCTGCAGGCGACTGACGGCATCCTGCAGGGTTTTGTTTTGCTCCTTTAGCTGCTGGGTACGAAGGTGAAACACCTCAAGACTCTGAGCATCTCTGAAGAAAACAAATGCAATGACAGGTAGATTCTATTCAGCCATTCACAAAAGAGCTCCTGAAGCCAGGGTAAAACATGTTATTTTCATCATTTCTTTAATATTATAAAACGAATGACTCAATATACTCACAAATAGCGCTCCTTCTTCAACTTGCTCACTTTTTCCTCCAGTTCTAAAAACAGCAACAAATTCCATGTTGAAGAGTGTGAAACACAATGTATCTGACTTCTTTATAACCTGCATGAACCATTGAGGAAATCACCTTTTATCTGAGTGCATTACATCATGGATCAGTTACCTTGAAGTGCATTATGATGGCTCTCTCTGAGCTGCCTCCATAAATCGTCAAAGAGGTCAGTTGGGTTGGGTGTTCCGCTGCTCGGTCCTGGGCTGCTCATCCTCCATTCACCGTTAAACACAGCCGGCCCTGCTGCTGCTATGACTTGCTGCAACCTGTCAACTTTACATGGGGGAAATAAAAATCTGTCTCACATATTTCTGTATTAATTCGTGATGTAATGTACGTTAATGTTGGTTTCTCAATGTAAAATACTAACTAGTACAGTATGCCACAAGCTCGGCCTTATTTTAGTCCTGTCAATACAGCTAAGCTAACTATTGCAAATGTTTATATTGAACATGAACACTATTTGGGTAAATATTCTTCATGACGTTGACGTTGCCTATTTTCTTTCCTCGTGTCCACCGTGACGTTATTCCTTTTTGTACCTCTCGTGTGTTATAAAGTTAAATTAGCCAATGTCACAATATATGGAGAAAAATAACTGCAAGTAACAGCTTGTAGGAGCTTTAGCTAGCGTTAGCTAAATATCCACTCGGATGCACTTTATCTTGAAACTGAAAACAGGTTCATTCTAGTGTCTGCTGACTTGACCGCGGTGTTAAAGTTACACAATACAAAACACTGAATTCTTTATATTTATCTACTATGCCCTAACGAAACATTAACGGGTTCAATGTTACGTACTCGCCACTTTGCTTGACTGTAAACACAACAGCATCACAACACTAGCACTGTTAAGATAACGTTGAATTACACTTCAGTTAACGGCTGCCACCTTTCAAAATGAGCAACACTTACACCAATGAGTCAGAAAAAACGTTAGGGTTTAAAAGATTAGTACTGTTGGCTAACATATCACTGTATGTTAGTACAGTACGAGTATTCCCCCTGGATGGTACTCCAAAACTAGACAAAAAAAATTCAATTTCGCGCGCCGAAATGCATGCTGGGACGTTTACCCCCCTCTTCTTCTTCTTCTTCTTCTTCTTCTGCTATTCTTGAATCGTCGGCGCCCTCTCCTGTTCAAACGTATTATTAACTATAAATAGTAATTCTAAATTATTTGAGCATAATAACTATTTCATTAGTTTGATTATTTTGTTATTTGTTGTTATCGTATGTATATTTTGTTGACTCTAGGCCAGACACTTGTCTAGGTGAAGGGATATACTGTAGGTAGGAGGCGAGTCAGTGGCAGGTGATGCACCAGGAAGGGACAGGTGTTGTTTTACCAGAGCAAGAGAGAGACTGCACGAGAAATGTTTGCTTTTGATCACTATAATAAATTCAACCTAAACTGCAAATCACACCTAAACATTGGGACTTCTTGCCCGAGTTACAAACCGACTGAAATGGGGCATCAGTGGCCTTTTGATGCAAGTTTTGCTTTGATGTTTTTTTTCTTTGACAAAGAGCCACTTCAATAACTTTTTTCCAGCATGTGGAGCTGATTCTGTCACAGCCGTTTACCGTACAGTAGAGCATCGAGGTCGTTTTCTCGTTCTAGCTGCACAGGATTACAGCACCCACATTTCTCTCAGTACAGAATGTGTTAACTGTCGCTCTAAAGTTGTCAACATTTTTACAGCTCGATTACATATACACTTGTTTGGCCAACAATACAGTTTGGAGAATGTGGTTGTGCAATTATTCATGTGAAAACACATTTTCCTCAATCTTTAATTATTATTATCAATAATTACATATTGTTAAGAGCTTTACTATATCTGCCAGGAAGTACAAAATGGCACAATAAAGGGGAAACAAAGATTAATCTTATATTTGTTTATTTTTGGTCTTTCTTTAGAATACAAAACAAGAACCAAAATCACAAAAATAACATTTACAAAACAGATTATTTAACTGAGGTGACTGAGGCAACATAGAAAAGCATGTCTGAAACAGTGATATTGGTGGGTTAGCCTGGAACCTTGAGGTAAAACAGCGAGCAATGTAAAAGGTCAGATATCTTTACTGTTTTGAATTAGTGCCTTCCATCAGTAGTGCTATTCACAAATAGAGTTTAACAATATCATGTTTTCCTAACATGTCCACAATTAGCGTGATTTGATGATGTAGTGCTTCAGACCTACCTAAGAGCAAATTGATTATTGTGAGATGTAGGCCGAATATTCTAGGCGCTTCGCACTATATGGCACCATTTTGAATGGTTTCTATTTCAATTCTCATTTAAAACACACACATACAATCACATACACACAACGCTGGTCCTACTCATCCACTCTCTGCACTCTTAAAAGGGTGCAAATGGTTTCCAAAATGTCCTCTACTTGTTCCCCACCAAGAATGCTTCCGGCTAAAATAAGTGAATAGTTAAAACATTGATATCACTCAAAAAAAAAAAAAAACCAGGAACCCAAAGCTGCTGCAGACTTTTGGAATAGTTGGCACTCTTCTCCTAAAAGGTTGGACAGCACAGGAAAAATAAAATGCTCAGAATGATTAAGTATTGGAATGGCCGTCAGTCGGAGGCACAAACTCAAAGTCCCATCTTTCCTAAAATACAAAAAAAAAAAAATGGTAAGACGAAATGCATACACTGCATCACTGAGAGAAATAATAAAAACCTAGCTCCAATTACCAAAACACGAAGCAGTGAAAAGAGTACAGTTTGGTCTGCACATGTGTGTGCAGGTATGTTTTTGCATGAATAAACGTTTCTCGCCTTTTAATCTCTCACATGTAAGACATGGTCACTGGTGATTCAGCATTGCAGATTATTACTTTTTTTTTTTTTCAGATCCTTTGGACGTGTGCCTTTTGTTTGATTTTGCATCTGTCACAGCAGGTAGATTGCGCTAGCATTACTTCATATATCTATATATACACATGCATTCAACATCATATGTATCCCCCAAATTAAAAGAAACAACAAAAAATACTATTCCAAACTCCCTTTTCACCACTTAATAGTTTAAGCTATAAAAAACCTGCATGACAATCCACAAAAAAAAGTTTGCATGGAGGCATTGCTGTTTGATGCGAGATATGCAGCAGGTTGTAGAGGTGCTGGCGCTGGGGTGTGACATGGAATGCAGCCTTATTCCATTGAGAGGGGTCATGGGGATGGGCCTATTCTTCACCCCCTCCTATCCAAATGGGCCTCGTTCTATGTAGTTAGGTTTTAGATTCACATTATACTGGAAGAAGAGTAACTGGTTGCAGACGCTGGCAGGGCAGGTCTTCACCAATAGCAAAAAACACTGGAGTAGAGTGTGAATGCATATCTACCATCTTCTGACCTGCAGAGAAAACAACATGTGGAAATATAGACTTAACACCTGCATGTGACTTTAAGAGAAGGTTTTAAACAGTAGACGAAAAAGCCAGAGGGGTGACGCGTTTTATTCAAAACAAAATGTTAAATGCATGCAACAATCTTGAACCCATATCAGACTTACATACGGCCAGCAAATACTAAAACAGCATACTCACGCTTCCCTCTCTTCACCACTGTGGGTAGGTGTAACTGGGTGTGCCAGGATGCCGATATGTCGGCATCGTGACTTGGTGGGGGTTAACAGACGCTGGTGATTGAGTTGTCAGCAGAGTTCCTAGGAAGCAAAGTGGCCACAGAGTGAACACCGGTGCACAAGTTTGATATAATATACACTTTCACAACAAATAATGGGGCACAGATCTACTGAGACTGTAAAAGCAAACTGGGCATGCGTAATAATATATGTTTATTTTGCTATATTCAACACAAGGTGGTATAGCTTCATATGCATCTCTACAAAGTATAGATACTGGTTAAATGATAAAAACAGAAACGGATGCTCACCAGCTGACATGGCCATGGTGGTGCCGGCTACCATCCCCATGGCGACACTGTTGTGGCGTTGGGGGGCCATGTGTGGGGCATACATGGCCGCGGGCATCCCATTTGGCTGAACCACTGTAGTGTGATGGATAACGTGAGGCGGTGCAGCATACAGAGGCTGTGTGTAATAAGTGCCTTGCTGTTGTGAAGGTATTAGTGCCTGGATCCAAGAAGAAGGAAACACCACGTTACAGTTCAAAATGATAAAACAAAACAGGACTTTGTTAAAGTTAGGTGAAACCTGACAGAAGACAAATCAAAACAAAGAAACCAGTTATGGCCTTGAAGTTTGAAATTTGGACCTATTGATTATTGCGCCATCCTCAGGCCAACCTGGATAATACTTTAATAACACAGCCAAGAGCCAAAATCTGTCACCCGTCAACAACACAAATGCACCGACCTGTGCATAGGGGTTCTGTTGGGGGTAGGTGCTCCTGACTGGGTAAACACCGGCAGGGTAGGGGTTGGGTGAGGAGGAGTATGGTGGGACAGTCCCATTGTTGGGAGAGCAGGACATTTTGAAAGGAGTGCCTGGAGCGTAGCCTGGGTGGAAGGAAGACACTTAAAGTTAGTACTGCCGACTATTCAGTGTAAGTCACTTTCAGTCAGTGGGTGAAGAAATATGCAGTTGTTGCAAAATTGGTGAATAACAACTGCATCTTAAGAAAGGTCCGCAGACGGAAACTCTGACCCGCTTACAACCTGAAGAGGTGTTGAAATCCTTGCAACAGCACCGACTTGTAAAATCTCCATTAGCTAATGTCGTGCACAGTGCAAACACACAGTCTACAAACATTCTTACCACTGGGGAAGGCTGCGTTCGCTCCTGCATAGATATTGTGATATGCTGGAGCAGCTGCTGCATAGCCAACAGGGAATCCAGCTGCCATGACCAAAAACAGAACATCAAAAAAATCGATCATTTTCAACTTTCTTGATTTCAGAATATTTGATTGCAGTTAAAATATTTGCTTGAAGCATTACACATCAACACGGGGATTTACCTGGGTAACCCATACCCTTGGTATTGGTAAAGGGGACCCCTGCTGCTGCAGGGTTGTAAACTGGATTCATAATGGACGTCTATTTACGGATGCTGCAATGAAAAAGAGAATGCGAGTTTCAGAGAATGTAAAATTGACAAAACAACAAACTAAATTGATAAGATCATCTGGGTAAATGTAGCACAGGTTCAGGAGACTCATGAGTTCCAAAAGCAGCCTATGAGACAGTATGTTCTGCAGCAAAAACAGAGCAAAGCATGATGAAATGCAGACATTCCCATGATGCTGCAGATAGATGATAGTGCCAAGTGATGGTCTGAAATATGGACATTTCCGTGACTAGAAAGTTTAAAAGGAAAACAAGAATGTTGTATTGGGAATATGATATCCTCTCGTGAGGGAACAGGGAGGACTGCCGGTGGCTTACATGAAATGACCTTGCTAGGTCATATAGTCACAACTGTTTTTATTCACCTTTTAAGCGCTGTGCACACATACTGATAACTGGAATACCATCGTTTTGGTTTTGCACAATATGCAGAATTTAACATGGACTTCGGCACTTCTTTAAAATCTTAGTTTTGATTCCCCCCCCCCATGTCTTAACTAAGTATGACCACTTACTACACCTTACTGTTTCTGTGTTCATCCACTTCGCTTTCATAGTAATGCAACTGTAATTTTGTATTATACCGTGTATAGAAAAGCTGAAATATACTCCCTAGGACACATGCATTTGGAAACATTTCATAAAAACAAATGCTACATTTGTTCAATCATTTACAGAGTTGCGTTGCAGCAGTTTTACAACTTTCTAAATTCCATTACACAAGAGAAATACATCGACTTCTGCTACACATGATGCTCATCAACTGAAAAAAAAGAGAAGAAAAAAAGAAAAAGAAAAGTGCCCTCTAGCGGGGGTCCGCAAACCATTACATCACTGTAGGTCTGCTGATTCAAGGACAATTTAAACAGTGACGGAAACGCATCATTTCCATACTATATTTGTTATTGTGTTAACCGAAAACAAGGACACCACTATTTCTAATGACTAGATTACCAGCACCTCATGTAGTTATGGAGAGGAGTCCTACAAACCCAAATCTATTCTACAGTCGGACTTTGTACGGAAACCATAGGGCAACATATAACCCGACTAATCCTTACTAACATATTTTCAAATTGACAACACATCACAAACTATATACAATATTTTAGCAATGACTGTTTTCTTCCACTAAAATATGCAGTCGACATGAACGGAGAGTGTGACGCAATACAATAAGTTGATCTTTTTTTATTTATTTTTATTTTTAACAAAGTCCCGCTTGGTGGTTTGCATATAATCTTGTTTGCATCCGGCCTCGATAATCAAGAGGTGTAAAGAGGTTCATTTTCAGGTGACGTTGGAAAATGTTGCCTACAAAAAAAAATAAAGATGGCAACCTTTAAGTAGAAGAATTCCGAAAGGTGAACGTAGCGGGGCTTTGTTATCATTAGCTAGCTTAGCTCACGAGCCTTTAATATCCGCACAAATCCGCCGCTAGCTAAACGTGTTTCACCGTAGCAGGTCGGTTCCGATGTGCGGACGGACCCGCTAATCACCTGTCCGACCCGAGCAAAGTCACCGGACCGTCCCCGGACAGCAGCCAGATGGGGGCAGCTTGTCAACAGGCCGCACAGCACAAGAGACAGACAGCCAGACAGCTGTGGTCTGCAGTAACGCGCGTCTCAGCCCTACAGATAACCCCGATAACACACGGATCATTTTATCTAGAGATTAATAAGCAACAAAGACTCACTGTTGACTGTTCTGATCGTCCGTTAGTCCGCTCCTTTGGTCTTCTGGTGGAAAATTGTATTTAAGCTAGCTGCTGTTTTGCTCCCAGATGCTTTTGCTGAACTCTTTTGAGCAACTGCGTCACTTCCGTGTAGTGTCACGTGGCAAAAATAAAACATATTACGACGCTTTATCAGACTGTGACCAATTCTATTCTGGTAATGTGTAGCTATTTGTTTTTCGTCTTTACACACTAAAGCATTTTTCTATCGAAACTGCCCCAATAGAAGCACAGTCTCTATAACGATTATTAATTTGACAAAACGACGTAACAAATCAGATACAATTATTTATTTGTTAGTAATGCAATTTTTATTGAGTACAGTGCCTTTATGATGTTTGTTTTCTTTGCCACACGGTTGCGAAAATGTGACATAGCAACAATATGTAACGTCCCTAAACCCTGCAACATTGTGGCAATTCTCCTTGAGCTCATTATTATGTCGACCATACGGTCCTTGCAGGCTATAGAAAATATTTGACGTTGGTAGGGCTTTCCTTTATCTGACAATTTATCATTACTGGATTTAGCTGATTATACTTAACAAACAATGTAAACAACATTTTTTCTAAATTAAATTAAAATTTTCTGTCACAGCACAACTATATGTATATTTGTTCTTCCAGGACCTTGACGCATCGCTTCCATTCAGCCATTGAACTGGGAAGAGTAGAGGGTCCATACTGTTGTGGTTATACTGCGACCTGTATGCGATTTTATAGGCAAAATGTTGCTATTTATCTTATATTAGGGTATCATTCTACGGTGTAAGGTGTAACTATTCGGTCGACTGGAGTCGTCGGTAAAGATCAGGGCCATAATGTCTGGAGCGGCCGGTGGGGGAGGAGGCTCCTCCTGTCAGGGCGCAGCAGCGGCAGACAGTTGCAGCTCCGCCGGCTCTCCCTACGCTGCCGCAGCCGGAGGAGGCGCAGGGGTGGCCGGGAGGTTGCCAGCTCGGGTCCTGGAGCATGTCTTCTCGTACTTGGAGCTGACCGACTTGACGCGTTGCGCGTTGGTCTGCTGGCATTGGAACAACATGCTGGCGGATGAAAACAGCGAGGTGTGGCGCAGCCTCTGCAGCCGGTCCTTGAGCGATGAAGCTATGCGTTCTGACATCCTGTGCAACCTGCCCACCTACAAGGGGAAAGTAGGTTTACCAGCATACCGCTGTTGTCTCGGGTTAAGAGAACCGTGATTTGTGGCGAACCCCATTCAAATATCTGCCTGTTTAGTGCTACCTGTGCTCTGCAAACACCCTCACGTAACGTGACTGATGATGTGGTAAATTGTACACTGTCCTAAGGATACACCAATAAGCAATAATATTGTATGCCAGAAGACCTTATCGATTCGAGCTCGGTCTTTTGTAAACACATACAAAGTAACACTAATACATTTGTATGTTTTCTTAAAGCCCCGAATTAAATTGGCAGATTCTTAAATGGGCCTTGGTGTAAGGATTTGACAGGCTAAATCATGTTTTGTTGTCATTAGCTCACATTAGGTCATTGTATCCTATTTTATATCATGACCTAATAGTGAGGTTACTGTTACTGTTTATTATTGGATAATTCTGTGCACCATGTGCAAGGAAATAATAAGCCCCCTGTAAGAGAAATCTAAGCTGTCTCTGTATGAAAATTTGTGTCATGAAATTGTTGTTGATTTTCCATGGGAACCGAAACTACTTCAAGGAACTTTAAAAAGTCCTAGACCACAATCTTGGGAAATTAGTCTTTCAGATATTGATTAATTTTTCTCAAATTATAATAGCAGCCATAATTATTTTCTTAGAAAACGAAGAAGACCTTACAGAAGCTTTGAGCTCTTAAGCCCTGATTGGTGCAATACATTCTGTCCTGCATGGTATCAAAAGCCTAAGTCCATGACCATGTCTCACCTTGTTTATGTAGGCATCTATACAGCATATAGGATATGTTTCCCAGATCTTCAGTGTTCACCAACAAATACAATAGGGCTTTCCTTTTAACTGTAGCACCCAACAATTCCAAAATATTTTATATTTATTCATAATTATGATTTTTGAACCATTACACATAATTGCACTATAGGATTGTTCAAACCTAAAAGTCTTTTCACTAAAGCTGTCGTCCCTGTCCAATCGTCCTCTACAGCTCAAGGCCTTTCAACATGCTCTGAGCACCCACGACTGCTCCCGCAATGTTTACGTGAAGAAGAACGGCTTCACCCTGCACCGCAACCCTATTGCCCAGAGCACGGATGGTGCTCGTGGCAAGATCGGCTTTTTGGAAGGGAGGCACGCCTGGGAGATCTGGTGGGAAGGCCCTCTTGGCACCGTCGCAGTGATAGGCCTCGCCACCAAGCGTGCGTCCATGCAGTGCCAGGGCTACCTGGCCCTGCTGGGCAGTGATGACCAGAGCTGGGGCTGGAACCTGGTCGACAACAACCTGCTTCATAATGGGGAGGTCAATGGAAATTTCCCCCAGTGTAACAATGCGCCAAAATATCAGGTAGGAGCCGGAGTCACATCTGACGTTTGTACCCTCATACGATTTTAGATACTCCAAGAATAACTTGTGGAATGTATTGCCCTATTAGTTGTTGTTGTTTTTAAAATGTATTATTTGTTATTTTTGTAATCCGGCAATGTGTAATTGTGTTTGTCCATAGATCGGGGAGAGAATACGAGTGATTCTAGACATGGATGACAAGACGTTAGCCTTCGAGAGGGGTTTTGAGTTTCTCGGTATTGCGTTTCGTGGACTGCCCAAAGCTTGCCTTTTCCCAGCTGTCTCCGCAGTATACGGCAACACCGAAGTCACCATGGTGTACCTGGGAAAACCTCTAGACGGCTAGATGCAAAGTAACCTGTGCCACCATTAAAACTAATAGGCCACTGGCGAGTGCAGGACTTTTTTTCTGTCAACAGACTGCAGACTGTGTTTGTTGCACCGTTTCAAACACAGTCTGGTCTCAAAAGGTTTTGGAGACCAAGGGGTCATGTTCCTTCCCAAGCAGAATAACTATTTACACACACTGTTGGCATTTCTACTACAGCTCGACATGAGGAGTCAAACTACAGGGGAGAAGGAATGCGTGGGAACTGTCACAAAACACGTTTCTGTATCAGTGTGGAAGTGTCCACTTTTACAGTTTAGCTGCTGGACTGTTTTATTTACAGGATAGCGGAACATTATTTAAGTTCATGCGATTCGGGCTAACAGTGCTGAACATTTACGTGAGATTTTATGTCTGCTGAAATGAGGCCAAAACTATTGTAAACTGTGGCAAATACACTCAGACATTGTTTTTAACAAGTGAAACAGTGGTTGTTATCGATGGCTATCTGTTGTATGAGTTAAAGGAAACAGCTCATCGTGGATTAACGCAGTTTAACTATAATCGATGGCTGGAGTATAATAGTTATATGCCAAATCAATGTGACCTGATCGCTATAGGCAAACATAGAGGACATGCGGACCAACTGTCATGCATGTGCATGGATAATGGCGTAAAGACTATAACACCTGTCCAGTAATGGCGGAAACTATAGCTGTATCATGTTTATGTGCGTCCTTTTTAATGTGCTACTGTAGTATTACACACTATTTATTTCTTGGTTTTTATCTATGGTACTATAGATGCTGTATGGTAATAAGGCCTGAAAATAAAGTCTACATGATGCCACTCTTATAATAAAGAAGGTTTGATGTTTCATGTCTGCTTATCCACGGCTGTCCAACTACATTACATGTTTCCAGCCCCATGTTATGTTAACCAGCCACGTTCATTTGATGTTTTTGGAGGCTGTAAAGACAATGCTGCAGGAAGACTGCATAGTGTTGCTTTCCTTTGGAAAAAAACATGTATCTCCAAAATTTGGCATTTTGAAGTATGAACTGTTCCTAAAACTGAATACAGGGCTGTTTTGGAGTTCCAGTACATTGTTTTCAAAGAACAGCGATATGAAATGTATGGTTAACTGCATTAGTTATTGGTCTGTGTATGAAGTACAGAGCGTAAAGGACACATTATCACGTATACAAGATTAACCATGCATCATACGGACAGGTTACTAATGTGGTATGGATGAAGTGCACAATAATATAGGCAGTTCATAGTATACACCACGCAAAGTGACGATGCATGAGAAGCATTCCAAGTCAAGGCTGTCCATTGAGCTCTTACTGTAGGTGTTGCTGCATGTCACTACGTGTGGATCAGCGATATCCTGAAAAAGAATCTGTGCTCGGTGTGGTGGAAAATAATCTTTTTAACCTCCCGGTGAGAAATAACCGAGATGAGAAAACTCTTAAATATCAAAACATATTTATTTAACAGACACTAATAATAATTCAGCTGAATGGATAGATCTTTTTCCCCACAGATGGTTCGGAGGTCTAACAATAATGAATAGACAAAACAGCGTATCTTTGCACATTATCTCGTCTCCTCTCCCTTCACCCCCCCCCTTCGCAGATGTCGTCCTCCTCTGTCTGCCACTGCACCCACCAAGGCCACGTTCCCAGCCTTTTCGTGGGAAGAGGGTTAGGTGGTGAGATCAGGATGACACTACAGCCAGCCAGAAATGCTAAAATACCTTTAAGTGGTGAGATCATTTATTATTAGCTTTTAAATGAGTCTGGTTGGCCTCATCTGCATATGCAGGTTTAAGCGATACAAGTTATCTAAAAGAACCATATGATACATTTCCACAACACTTGGCAGTCATCTTTTCCCCTGAATCAATAGAAGTGTGGATATGGAAACATATTGCTGTTATGGCCAGAAATATCAGCTATTAAGGCGCACTTGACACTGATGGCCTTTCTATCGTAGAGAACAGGAAGTTATGGGGCTACATATTAAGTTTAACTTTACAGTCAGACAGCCTTTTTAATGAAGAGATTAATACCTGACCTTTGTCCTAATAGCCTCTAAGTTTTTGGCGCATTTCATATCAGACATGAGGAATATTTATTTACAATGTACAGACCTATTTATGCACAATTTAGTTTTTAATCTACTGTAAATGCATGCATTTTTAGCCAGATTAGCGGTTTGGCTCAAGGAGTGGCAACATTGGTAATCCCCTGACATTTTTATTGCGCTATCAAGAGGTTGACATTTTTTTAGATGATGGATTTCCACAGACGTGTGTCCACACCTGGCTTGATTTTTGCTGCTGGAGGATCATATACACTACAAAACTGTGTGACAATGACATTACAGGAAAAAGACTCACAAAATTACAACAATATATGCTCAAAACAGGAAAACTGTATGAGCAGAGCAACAGTCTGCCCTCAGCAACAATAGCTAGAAGATTGCATCAGGATGTTTCCTTGGACAGAATATGGCCTAAAAATAATTGACACCCAAAAACTGAACACTTTAAGCTCCACATAGCATTTATTGCAAACCATGCAGTTTTAAAAGTGCAAGATCCACGATCGGAGCATTTCGTTAACATAAACAACATGCACCACCCACAAAAACTCAACCTTCATCAACAGGAAATTGAAGAAAAATACATCACAGCACTGGACACACTGTTCTGCTTCGGTTCTGCGGATCTCAGAGGATAACTTCAGTAAAATGAATGATTGAATGTGCTGCCAATGCTAAGAGGTATGTCTGCCTATTTGTCCCTTTCTCTTTGAATTCCCCAGAGTCTGCGTATCACCTAAAACAGAGCAGTATCTCTAGTCTCTGTCCTGTTCTGACCCTGAACGTCTGTTTGCCAGACTGTCGGTCTCTCCACCCTTGATCGTTTATTACTGCCTGTCTGTCAGTCCGTCACTCTACCTGTTGGTCTGCTTTTCATCCTGACTGTGTTTCTAACTGCATTATCTGTCTACCAGCACAACAGCTTATTACAGAAACCATAGCTGGCTGTCTCTAAAAATCATCATCTGTTGTTCTGTATATTATCCCATGGGTTTACATCTGCAATACCAGTTTCAAATGTGCAATATATCCTGTCTCCACAAGGCGGCAGTAATCCCCTCATGCATGTCATGCAAATAGCCTTACACCATAGAACATCCTGGTCATGTGCACCATGAAATCTTAAGAGAATAGATGTGCCCCACCTTACTTTTCATTATGAATCAAACTTTTCATTGCATTTAGTTTTCATTAACCTGCAGCAGTGGATTAAGTTTTATGGTTAAACAACATCTTAAGATATTACAGAACAAACGATGTATGCTAGAAAGATTAGGATGAAGAGAGAGTTACATTCATATCTCTTGTAGAATCTACCATTTACTGGTGGTTGATCAACAAAAAAAATTAAACCTGAGACAAAGGAATCATATGAGTATTTATCCTCATATTTGGTAATATGAGGATCACTTGTTTTATTCCTCAGTGCTGTGGTGTTTTTTTACTACAGGATTTTAGTTGCCCACAAACTCACTCACCCATGAGACTTTACACCCCAACTGCCACATCATCTCCTCAGCTCTTTGTATCATGTATTAATATGTCCTTGAACAGACAAATAGTAGTGCTTGTGCTCATACTTGTGCTGCACATATTTTCACCACAAGTCCAGTGTGAGAGCTACTTTCCATCTGTCTGCTTAGAATATAAGAATAAAACAAGTGATGCATGCTGATCTACAGCTGGAAGAGGTCATGCTGGTTTATAGAGCTATTTAACGCACGTGAAGTTACACCCGATGTAACCCGACCCATCAGCCATGTTTCTGCTGCCCAAAACGGACACACTGGCTCTAGAAGGGCCATTCGCCTTTTCACCTTTTCACGTTTTTACGTTGGCCACCATAGTTCTCCTACACGCTTTGCACACGGAAGAAGTTTCAGTTGATTGCAATCTGCAATCTCACCGCTAGATGCTGCCAAATCCTACACACTGCACCTTTAATGTTTCCAATCTTTGGGCTACTCACTCATTTGACATGAAGGTAGAAAACTCCTGTATCAATTTCTAACCGTCTAAACCTCTCTTGGCTAGTTATAGAAAATGACCCCGAATAATAATTCCCAGGCTTATAATTATCAAATCTTTAATCATAAATAAAAGAGCTCTTCCACTTCAACCGGACAAACAATTCGGTCATTCATAAAGGTTTACCCACCCAGAATACTTATCGTATTTGTGACGCCACATGGTTGAAAAAAAAGATTAATTGTGTGGTATTAAAATGGACAAATAGAGGTCTCATCAAAGTATGAAGTTTATTAAGACAAGAGCGTCTGTGTCTTAGCCGTCTCTGCTGAGTGCAGGGAGGAATTGTAGTTATAGGGTGAAGATAACACCAAGGTCACAGAAGTAGCAAAAGAGAGTGCATCAGAATTGAAACTTTCTCTCATAACGTGCATTCTTGTGTGTGCACAAGATCCAAACGAGGGCCCACTCTTAAAAACAAAAAATAAAAATAAATCACAGTGAGCCTTTAAAGGTGCTAAATTCAAAATGTAGAGCATTAATATAGCATCAATCAACTATTTGCTCTGTCAAGATATAGAGGAGTAATGTCTACCTGAGCAGAGAATGAAGTTAGTCTCCCTCTGTGTGTGTTGTTATCCGAAATTTCTTTTTATAGCAAAAGTAGACAGATGAAACGGCATGAAGCATGTGTCTGTCCCCGACCAGACACAAACCATGGACACGGTGGTTCACGTCCGGCACATTAAGCCCTGGGCCAGGAGGCCTCGGTGCTCCAGTGGGCCCACAGTGAACCTTATGTTTACACTCTTTTAATTAAACGTTTCAGAATAGGATTAGATACATTAATTGTAACATTTTTTACATTTTTATAACCAGGTGATAGGCTTTGTCTCAGACGTTTTACCCATATAGTGTGAGGATCATCACACAACCGAGACAATCCACCTCAACATGGAGTCGTGGATCAGAAAATCCTGTCGCCACCCAAACTTACCTCAGAGCCAGAAGTGAGAGCTGGAGATGTCCTGTATGAAAACAGGAAGAAATCACCAACAAATCAGCTCTACAAGGATGCCACCATCACTTCCTGATTCCTATTCCCTATTCTCTCACCCATGGCTAACTTGTGAGGAGAAAGAAGTTAACAAGCAGATTTAACAAAGTTAAGAGTACCAAAGAAAGAGTGATAGAAACACATGCATGAAAGCAGACCAACAGGTAGACAGACAGTCAGTGTTTAAGGAACTTGGTTACTTAAAGTAGCCATGTTGGAAACATATTAGTATTGAAAGTAGAACATTAGAGTACATTATTCACTTAGAATATGCTGCAGTGAATTGGGTTGTGCTGAAAAGCGGGCCATGGATCAATGTTACCTTGGCCCAGAACCATTGTGACCCTTCAATACTTCACACTTGAAACTTTTTGAAACTACATCTGTGTGTTTTGTAATGGCTGTTGCAGTGACAGGCCGAATATCGGGCAGGAAGGGCGTGTGTGTCGAGTGGTTTCCTCTCTCATAGGTTGGCTGATCAGAACAAGCCGAGAGTGTGAAGGGTGTGTTCTTGTTAGGTTTTTGTGGTTGCAGTTGCACTACCAATCGTAGTTGCCTGCACACCATGATCACTTTCGTGGTGTTTGTGTGACAGGGTGTGTGAAAAAAAAATTGTGCTGTGCTGGTTGAGAGCTGTTGAGCCTGCACTCGCCTTCCTGTGGCCCCCGGGCTTGAGAACCTCTTTCTGATTGCAGCTTGTCCATGTGACTCTGGTTTCCGTTGCTTGCCTGCTTCCGCGACGAGTAAAAAGAGTCATCAGTGCTTCAGTCAGAAGAAGGAAGGCAGCTGAACCTCACACACGAGAACACTCTCTGCAACAGCGAGTCAACCAGCGATATGGTCAGGGGATCAACCGTCAGTGGCTTGGGAAATCCACATCTAACCACCAGCGTAAGTAAATGCACTGTGCATTAGTTTAGTACTGCAGTGCTAAAAGAAGCAAAAAACATGCTTTGTCTTAAATAAGAATGATGAGTTTTGGTCTTTTGCACAAGATATCGTATTGATCTACTTATTTTGTGCATACTTGAAACCTGCTAGTACTGTATAGCATGTGCTTAAGTCTTGTTACAACACATGTCAACATAAAAATGTAGTTTTCAATATGTTTATTAGTGTTGCATAATGAGTCATTAGTAATGTTACCAAATTGCTTGGTATTGAATTTGAGTAATGTCGCTGAGTTATGGATTGCCCACAATTAGAACTTAACATTTTGAAAAACAAATCTCACTTTAATAATGCTGATTTTCAGTTTCACTCTATGCATGTTTAATTAAAATATCACACATTTTACCATTATTCTAATGAATGAAAAGCGTATGCTGTCTTTTTGAGCTATCCTTATGTGATATTATGTCAGTATCAAACACTGGGTGGATCAGTCACAAACTGGCCAGTAACACTCAGAAAAGAGAGATTAGTATTCTGCAAAACTGTTTGTAGACAACAATGTAGTCAACTACCGTCAGATAAGCTATTCATTTGAACAGTTAAAAAAAAAAGAACAGAAAAGTGATAAGAACAGTGATAAAATGTTATATATAAAATTATAAAATTTTTGATATAAAAGTAAAAACTAGACAACATCGTATGCTTCATAAATCCACTAAAATACAAAGTGTATGCGTACAAGCCAAAAAAGGAACACAAGGCCTCCATATCCAGCATGCGTCACGCAGTGGTTTGAATTGAAATTAGGGAAATTTGACCAAAATGCCCAGCTGCTGTGTTCAGTAGAAAATACAATATTACAGAAAAGACATTCACACATTAACATATTAATCAACTCCAACTTCTTTCATCGTGTTTGGTCAACCAGACACAACAGAAATGAAACAGATTTCATGTTGCTGACACGAATAATGTGAAAGCCCCGTTCACACGTTTGTCAAGTCTAACATATACGGTTAGGATACAACAGGTGAAATCATTTGCTCACCGCTACAGAAATGTTTAAGTTGTGACTCAATACAAATTTTAACTGAAAATCATCACTCACAATATGAATGTTTTTGGCATGAGTAGTTAATTATATATCTGCCAGTCCACTGCATTGACCTCCAACACTTTAATGTCAAGCTGCCGTCTCGCTCTCCTAGTTTGATAATCCATTTACAGCGGAGGGATTGATTTACCCAATTTTGCATGCCTGTAGACGTGGTGTCATGGTGCTCGTTCCAAAATGTCATACCATGCTCATCATCACATGCAAATCAAGGCTACTGCATATACTCATGGACTGATTAAGTTGAATCACCTATAGTCAGCACATGTCTGTGTTGATCAATAAGCATCCTCCCTCTCTCCTTCTATCACCTTGTCAACAGTGAGGATGTTAAAATGCCAGTCCACGGGCTCACTCCCATCCTGCTCTGCTTGTTACCCATGTGGAGAATCTTGACGCCGGTCTCAAGTCATCCACAACACAGCCAGTGCCAGCTGGTAAGACGTCTCATTTTAACTCAGCTCCACATAATAAAAAGCTCCTCTCTTGAGGATGACACCCTGTGGCTCAATGAGATTACCTGTATTAATAAAGGTTAAATTAAGAGATTCCTTTGGGATTAATACAGTTCTATCTTTTCTTATCTTAAATTTAAAAAAAGCACAACTCAAAACGAACTGATGTCTCAGGAACATTGGTGGAGTAAGACAAATGTCCCACTGGTAGGTAACCTCAGATGTATTTTGTTGAGAAAAGATAAGCATTTTGTTGTTAATGTCATCATTGCAACACTGTCCTCTGATGCTGCATTCAGTTGTTGTGAAAACATGATAGCTGAGAATAAAAATGGTCACATGAACATCCTGCAGGACATGACATTTTGTGAGGATATTTTGAGTGCTCCGACATTTCCCACTTTGTCTCATCAGGTAGGCAAATTGAGTAATTTAATCCATAAATAATCCATCAAAGCTGTTAGTCCACTGTATTAAATTATTTGTTATTTTCACACTAAAACCAACTTTCTAACAAGCCATACTGTTACCTATCATTTAACAATGTCATATTTACAACATTGGATTTAATGCACTATTGTAGTGGAAGTACACATTATTGATGACTTTTTCACTTTCTAAACAGACATGAAGTCTGCATTTGTCAAAGTGAATACATTTTTAATTGTCTTCTTAATAAATTAAGTAGCTAGCTAAAAAGTTTTCACAACCTGACAACCCCCACATGTCTCCTAATAATGATTTATTACTGATAAATTAAGAAGTAATTAGTCAGTTGAGAAACACTACTAAAGACTTTTTCTGATGTGATCAAAATGCAGCTGAAAAGTGGCATCCAGAAGAGAAAATATATTAGCTGGTTTATTAAAACTGAAACGTTTTTGATGAATTGTCAGTTATATTAATAGTATGAAGAAAATATCTACAACTACTGTGTGAGTGTAAGAGTGCCTAAAGGGTGTGTTTAAAATATATATATATTTTTTGTTTATAATTTGTTTTTTTATCAACGCTGTGAGTTAAAGGGCAGTTATTATGCAAAACTAATTCTAAAAAATAAAAAAAATAAAAAACTGTCAAGTGACCAACAAAAATGTTCAATTGTGCTTCGAGCTTAACGCTAACATCGGCATGCTAAAATGTTCACAGTAACAATGGTAATGTTGATGCAAGTAATATTTATCAAGTTCACCATCTTAGTTTAGCCTAGTGCTAATTAGCACTAAAAACACAACTGATGCTGAATGCCATTAGTTTTGCAGGTATTTAGTCAAAAGTCAAAAGTCAAGTAAAGTATTGGGCACCAAAGTCATTTGAATTCATTCTTTAGTGACCTCGAGTGTGTGTAGCAAATTTAATCTCAATCCATTCAACAGCTTTTGATTAATTTCACTCTGTACAAAAGTGGTGAGTCAACCGACCGACAGACCGAGATCCATGTTGTTGCTAAAAACCAAAAAAATAAAGCCCATGTTAAAATTCTGACGTTAGATAAAGAGATATGAGAGGTTAAACAATCCCTCCAAAAAAGGAAGCTTGTTGATGTAAACCCACAAAAGAGTAAATTCAGCCTGATGATTTTTGCTCAGGAACCTTGCAGTATTTCTAAAAAAAAGTAAACATTTCTTTCCCACAAGGAGACATACAATAAACAAACCCACAAACTTAAAGCTATCTGCTCTCCTTCTCTCTGCAGATACAAAGAACGGCTCTCTGCAACAATGGCAAGCTCTCCTCTGTGCCTGCTGGACTGCCCGACAACTTAGAGGAGCTTCAGCTCAACTACAATCACATTCAAACACTACAGGACAACTCGCTCCTCCGTTACCCCTCACTAAACACCCTGAGCTTAGCTTGTAATAGTTTGGAAAAATTAGAATCAAACACTTTTCAACACTCAAAATTGTTAGTAAGCCTCAATTTAGCAAACAACAATCTTCATATTGCCTGCCAAGAAACTAGCCACGCATTAAAGACTCTACCCAGGCTTAGAGCTCTGGATCTCTCCGAGAATGTGCTCGAGGACGAAATGGTGGCCACTCTTCTCCAAAATCTGACATCCCTGGAGTACCTCAATCTTTCTGGAAACTTATTGCAAAGACTGGATGAGACGTCATTCAGAAATCTTCACCAACTCAAAGAACTCGACCTACAGAGAAACATCATGTACGAGATTGATGGCGCTTTCGACGGCAATCCAAAGCTCCAGCGGCTCAACTTGGCCTTCAACTATCTGCTTTGCCTGACAGACTTTCATATGACCCAGATGGTGGTCCTCAACGCCAGCCACAACTTCATTGAGTGGTTCGTCACCAGACCAGACCTTAACGACACTTTTCAGCTAGAGACACTTGATCTATCAAACAACAAAATGCTCTTCTTTCCTTTCTTGCCCAACCACAGCCACCTGAGGAATCTTTACCTATCCCACAACAGCGTTAGCTTTTACGAACACTTGGCAGACAACAGCACATTCCCGAACTCCACCACAACTGTTGAGTTCTACAACATGAAGAAGTACATGGGCAACGTGACGGCTCAGCTGTGGAACGAGAGCCTTTACGGGGACATCTCCTCTCTAGAGATTTTGGACCTAAGAGGAAACCAGGTGAGGTATTTTCCTGAAGGATTCATCCAGAAAATGCCTGCCCTGTCTAGACTTCAAATGCGCACGAACTGTCTGGAAACCTTAAATCTAGCGTCGGAACAGTTCTCTGGCAGCTTGTACGAGTTGGACCTTAGCAACAACAGGCTGAACCAGATCGTTGCAGATAGAAGTACGCTGACCGCTCTTGGCAATCTGACGTACCTTAACCTTAGTTTGAACAATCTTGAGCGGTTACCCTCGGGTTTATTTTCCTCATTGCCAAGCCTCAGGTCAGTGGATCTCAGTTACAACAACGTTGACATTTGCCGTGCCGAGGAAGCTGAGACCAGTACAGACACTAGCTCAGCTTGCGCAGATTGGAAAGACATTGCATCCCTAATGCAGCTTTACCTTAAGGGATGCAACCTTACAATTATTCCATCGTCTGCGTTCACTGGGTTGTCTCTAACGCACTTGGAACTGTCCGACAACCCTGGACTCATTGTCCAAGAATCAATACAAAGTCTCAGCAGAACATTGCAGCATCTAGGTTTAGGAAACACTCAAATACAAGATTTAGACTTCTCCCATTTGCACAGTCTTGAGTCTCTGAACATTTCAAGGAACTCTCTTGGCTATCTTCCCCCTTCACTTCTAAATCTTGACCTGAAAGTGCTGGATTTGAGGGACAACAGACTGTCCACTATTCCCTCTAGTCAGGCAAACGCATTAGCCCCCAAACTGCACACTGTTTTTCTCACAGGAAATCCGTTCAACTGCTGCCAAACTGAATGGTTCAGGACATTTGAAACAACAAAGACAATCAATATGGTCGGACGATCAGACATTGAATGTGAAGATGTCATCCAAATGACACACAGAGTGGAGCGCTACCAGACATTTTTTTGTTTGGAGAAAGATGGGGAATCTATAATCTGGTATCTTCTGCTTTTTGTACCCATCTGTCTTTTTTTTGTGGGCATTTTGATCATTGTTCTGCTCACCTTCAAGCCTAAAATGCTACAAAAGTCAATCAAAAAGAATTGTTTGAAGCCTACATCTTACTGATACTTTATAAACCTTAAACAAATGTGTTTTGTACAGTGTAGTATTGACAAATGTAACTGAATGTATGTTGGCAATAAATTCAATTAATTGTAAAACTGTCTACAACAATGAAGGAACAATTCTATGATATCTATTCAAGTAAGGGGGCATTAACTTTTTGGTAATGATGTGCTGTTGACGTGCGATTAAAAAAACCAGACCCCTTGCCCGATACCCTGATATAACAATGTGGCTGCGTTCTTGTGTGTGTGTGTGTGTGTGTGTGTGTGTGTGTGTGTGTGTGTGTGTGTGTGTGTGTGTGTGTGGGTGTGTGTGAACATATGCAGAAGTAGTGTGATGCAAGTTGTTGCGATAAGCAGCAGAGGAAACATGAAATTTCCTGTTTTGCTAAGATGTGCAGGAACTGCCCAGTGCAGAATCTCAAAGAGGAGGGGTATGAGGTTTCCTTCCCATTACGGGGACACAGATGCAACATAGGCATGAACTTTTAGTGTGTCAGAACAGCTATCATAATAAACCTTACAATCCCTTTTTTGTTTTACAGTTACAGTTGCACAGTATGTGTGTTGTTTCTCAGGAGTCGGAGGCTGGTAGATCAGTGTGTCGCTGTGCATGGTGCAGAAGGCCTAACCAGAAAGTAACCAGAATACCGCTGTGGTGATGCTCAGGGTCATGGTGGTTGGAACATAAAAAAGAGAAACCGGAGTAAAGCTCTGCCAAAGCCAAGAAACTTCATCATTTTTACATATCTTTTATGACAAAGTCATCAGAGTCAAAACATGTTTTTTTTTGGTGTTCATCTGCAGAGCAGGGAGGATACGTTTTGAGCATGCACATGGGTTCAACTCAGGGCAGCAGCTGACTACAGGTGGTGGAACAGGCTTGTGAGTTGAAGGTTTCTGTTTGAACATCTTTAACCAAAATGAAGTGAAGAATAAGTAGTAAAACAATGACTCATCTTGCACTTCTGAATTTATTTCAACTTGAAATCAGTGTAAGTCTACTTGAAGCAAAAGTAGCAAATATCTTGCTGGTAAGGTACAAATTGAGGTTTTCAGTTTCTATCAGGAAATTAACAGCAGGTTCTGACAAAGCGGCTCAAGAGTCTGATCCTATTGGGAAAGACTTGACGTCAAGAATTCATCATTTGCAGAAGGCCCTTTTCCACTGGTCACAGATTGTTGACCAAGGGGAATTTCATTTGATTACTCAGCTATATCAGGTCAGAAGTTAGAAGACAACTATATAAAATAGGTTAGAGGACATTCACACAACACGGCAGCCAAACTTTGATAACTTTGTATCTAACTTATGTTATGTTACGTGTATAAATGCAATACATGTGATTGCACAAGCCATATTCAGTGGTGGCTGGGGAGAAAACATAAACATAAATATGAACAAGAAAATTCCTAAAGAAATTTTGACAGTGTGGCTTCTACTGCCCGAAGAAATCGCAATATATACACACGCCAATGTTACCGTAGTGTCATTCAGGTTCAATTGAGCGCTACTCTCTTTTCTGCATTTTAGATTCATACTCTTGGATTGAATCTTGTATTTGTGGGGCTTTTATTTTGAAAGGGTGGGACTGGGTGGGTGAGAGAGGGGGAGAGGAGACAGAATCATAATGTTTGACACTAAAATGAGAGGCTTCATCACAAGCATTCCAGTTAGAATTCATTCTGTGGGGCTTTTAATTTGAAATGGGGGGGAGGGGAAAAGTACTCTAAAAATATCTGAGACCTGAATGACTGTATGATAGAGAGATACACAGAGAGGGAGAGCGAGACAGACAGAAAGATAGACAGAGAGGAGAGAGAGACAGAGTGAGTGAGTGAGACAGGCAGACAGACAGTTAGATTGACTGAGTGAGTGGGAGAGAGAGACAGGCAGACAGACAGTTAGATGGACTGAGTGAGTGGGAGAGAGACAGGCAGACAGACAGTTAGATGGACTGAGTGAGTGAGAGAGAGACAGGCAGACAGACCGTTAGATGGACTGAGTGAGTGAGTGAGACAGGCAGACAGGAGTCCTCTAAAAGTCTCCAAGACCTGAATGACTGTATGAGAGAGAGACACACAGAGAGAGAGAGAGAGAGAGACAGACAGAGAGATAGAGGGAGAGGAGTGTGTGTGCGTGTGTGTCTCAGTGCCTCTGTGCCTCTGTGTGTGTGTTTATCAACATCACTAATGAGCTCATATAAACACCTGTGTGCTTGGGTGCATGTTGATGATTGGAGCATCTGTGTGTTAGAGGCTAATTAAGAGAGAGAGTGAACAGTGATTTTCAACAAAACTACCTGTCAAACATATGCCCTTCATACCAAAACCATGAGACTAATCAATAAAATATGGATACCGTGAGAGAGATAAGACTCTGGCAAACGCGGAGATGTGTTTTTTATGTTTGTGGTCTTAAAAATGTGAGCTCGAGCGCAATATGCAAAACTGGTACCGTCTGCTTTCTTTGAGAAATGAGTGGTCAGATTTAACATGGAGTCTAATGGAGCAGTTGGTTGGAGTTCATGTCGCTCTGCGGCTCTTTGAACCAAATGTGTAAATCCGTTGGATTCCACAGACATCTGTGTGCGACAGCACAACATTTCCAAGCTTTTTGGCCAAAAATGGTGTATAAAGAGTAAAAATTGTGGGAGCTAGAGCAATTTGTTTGGAAAAATCACAGAAGATTTTCCTGCTCCGCTCCACTCTGACGGTTATGCTCTCACTCTAACTCTTAACGAGCCGTGCAATACACACCCATTATAAAATCTGAAACAGACCCAAAATTTTCCTGAAACTTAATCTGTGACTTCATGAAAACTGTGCTAGCTATCAAAATGTCCATTTGGCTCAATAAAGTGCAGCGTTTTGTATACGTTTTAAACTTTGAATCATGTTTCTACGTTAATGTACGGCTAGTCAATATGGGCCCAAAGTTAAGTGTTTTTTTAGCTCTCTTCACGCCGCAACCCCATTCAAGTGAATGGAGAAATTTTGCTCAGTTTTTGTGGATTTTCGGGAATTTTCGGGAAAACTGCTAGGCGAATCTCTCCGAAAAATAGATAGCACACTATTCCTGATCAGGCCGCACGTTTTGATGTATTTTTCACGCCGCTGTTGGCAACGCTGTGTGAGGAGAAGCACGCCAAACTTCATTTTGCTCCGTTTTCCGGGGTTTTCCGGGAAAACCGCTGGGCGAATCTCTCCGAAAAATAGTTTCCGCGCTATTCCCGATCAGGCCGCACGTTTTGATGTATTTTTCACGCCGCTGTTGGCAACGCTGTGTGAGGAGAGGCGCGCCAAACTTTTGGATAAAGCTGATGATGATTATTATTATTAAGCCTGATGGATAATATACAGTGTGCTTTGGCACAGGCAGTTTTACTGCCTTGTGCCACAAAGCCACACTGAATTATATCACCACCCAGCACACATAAATAGAGCGGATTTGTTATTGCAATGCAAAAGTAAATGGAGAAGTGAAATTTGAGCTTAAGTGGTCAAATGTGATTCTTTCGTGTAGCATTGTGATGCTACACGATGCTAGCTCAGATGTGGTACATCTGAGCTAGATCTATACTGCCCCCCCCCCCCCACAGCAAAAGTGCCTTATTTGATTTGATGCCCCTTTAGTAGATCAAATGTATTGCAAGATAACGCGAAAGAAAATTAATCTTGTCAGGCTTCAAGTAATGCTTTAGTGTCCAGCCAGCCAGTGACCGGACCAATCAGCATCCTGTGAGGAGCTACTGGGCGACTGTTCGTTCTAAACAACAATGGCGGTTCCTTAAGAGGTTAGCGTAGCTGCAATAGCATCAGTTATAGCAGAACTGGAGCGTGTTTCTTTGTTGAAAGAAGAGCAAAGAAGCTTTCTGCACGCTGGTGCCCCACCACATGCATTCCGTACCCTCTTTTATTTATGTATACAGTATATATATATATGCACAATTTGCAGCTGAGTCTGATTGGAATATCAGAACATCATTAGTATTGCAAGTATTTGGGCGTAAATCACCAACTGTCTCAAAAAACTAGCATTGCCATCCATAGAGCCTAGTCGCTGGCATGGCTAAAAAAACAACCACACAGTCTGTTCAGTAGAGACAATTTGTCTTTGACAGTGATAATATGGTGGCTACTTGTTACAGTGTGAACTAGCATCCTCAGCAAACACATCAGATAAGCAGCAGTTTATCTTCTCGCTTCACTTTTTTACAGTTTTTTTTTTGGCAAAAAAAACAACTGCTTGATTTTGCATCCAAACAAACTCTTTTGGCCCTCGAACAGACTCGTAGCTGTCAAAAGGAATGTAGAACTGCCTGATTTGAAGTAATTTGCGAGTATGAAAAGCCTTGTTCAAGATGAATCACAAAAAACTGTCATTTTGCTTTTTTCCCCTTAACATCAAGTGAACGCCTATTTTAGGATGCCTAAAATGGCAGATGTCAACAAGTATTTTCTGTGCAACATACGAAAGAAAATTAGGACTGATGAAAGAGGAAGTGTTTCTTTCTCAGGATCACTCATCTGATCTGTGAACTGGTTTAAGGCTTACTTTATCTAAGCAAGTGGGGTTATCTTTAGAGAGATAAAGAAAAGTCAGGTTTCAGAATACTGTGCAACTGAAATGTCCACAGCTGAGGTTTTATGAGGTCCAATGTTAGCCGCAAATACATGATTTCGTGGTCTTTACTCTATATTTTTGTTTGGTGTACAAACACTTAAGGATATTTTCCTCCATTGTGCTTTCAGGCTTTACCTTTCAATATCGTACTCTTTTGGAAAATGGTAACACAAGCTACTGTAGGTCAAAGGTTAGTGGTTAATGTGACGCTGATGGCGCATGTCGAAAAAGCAAATTATCCAATGTAAGCTGACGTACAGGCAGCTTCTTAGTCAACAGGCAGTTTGCAAAACTTGACTTCCTCTTAACCCTTCCTGCTCTTATGACAGGCGACGATGGGCGCTTTGCACTGGACTTATTGTTTAGCCAGGAAGCCTTTCATATCAGTTGTTAACCGTGTAACTGCATCAAGACTGCTAAAAGTGACTAATGAAAGCATTTGAGTGTGAAAAAAAACAAGATTTCACTGTATGTTTTACAGGCTCATTTTATTAAGGTCACTGTATAGAGTCTACCCAGAACAGGGTTCCTTGGAAATCTTTTAAATCTGCAAATTAAGAGATTTTGTCAAACTGGGTCAGAGTTTTGAGATGTTTTCTGGTCCACAGCTGCTGGCACTGCAGCATGAAGATCCACTGGGAGTTGTGGAAGTCACAGGGGATCGGGCCAGGAGAGAGCCCAAGACAACTGGGTAGAGGGAATCTACTCTTCTGCTCACCAAATTCTCTTTGAATGAGTCAACATTGAGAAAATATTTTGTGAATCACTTTAAAATAGAGCTGCTTTTGGATGAAGCAAGACAAATCATCAGAAGAATAAGCGTTCATTCAGAGGTGTCATCCATATCATAATAAACAGCCTTTTGATCATGGTGGGCATGACTTCAGTCAAGAGTGCATCTGTTTATCTTCTTTCACATCTCCCACCACTACTGTAGAAACCCTTTGTCGGTGTTAAAATTAAAAACTTTACCGTTTAGACTCAACATTTTCTTTAAGATCTAGAGTAGATTATTGAAGGTTTGACATGAAAGTGCTTTACTGAGAACTAATGAGAAAATGGTTTTGGAAATTGACCTGTAAGAGTACTAAATATAATTATTTTCCTTGAAAATGGTTAATTCCAGTTTCCTCTTGGTTTTTGTCCTACAGTATTAGTATGTTCATGTTTAGTCCTTTAATGACATTTAGCACTATATCACTGGGTCTAAAATGGCAGCTTTCAAAGGTGTTCATGCATTACATGACATTTACTTTCTCTAGCTCAGTAACGTGTCTCAATCTCACATGATTCTGCCAAATTACATTTCTTCAGTTGTATTTAACAGCACAACCAGTTGCTTGCTCTGCCCTCTAGTGGTTCCACTAGGAATCAACAAAAATCAACAATCAAGACGACAGTAAATGCCACATTTTGTTCCCTCACTACTGAAAGTGTGCATGGACACAAATAAAATGAAAACTCAAAACAGACCAGTGTTATTTTCTTATTTTAACTCATCATATTGTATATTTATTTTACAATTGTATGCCATCTTATCAGTTACACACAAAAACAAAAAGCAGCCATGGAATAATATACTTTCATCTCCCAGAATGCAACAAGGCTTTTTTTTTTTCTTTTTCAATGTGAAGTTGAAATGCAGGTTTAAGGGAAACTGATAGTAAGGTAAAAAAGAAAGTGTAAATGTTTTTACTTTAAGGCTTTTTCTTCATGTCGACAATGAACATGTCACTTACTGTGTATTTATGTACAATACACAAGTCAATAATTTAATCAAAGACAACAGCTGTCTTCAGATAAATGAACTTCCACAGAAACGTGGAAATGCTGGTTTCCAATTGTCAATAACTTAAATAGAAGTATTGGGGTTCAATACATGCAGAGGAGACTGAATAGACCGTCTCAATATGGCTGGTGTAGCTGCAAACAAGGCAAATGGTTTCAGAGAGGCCGATTCACTGCGATAGGCACTTAACGATGTCTGGCATGCGAGTTTGGTAACCGCGCGGTTATCAGCAGATAACACTGTCTCTTATTCCGCCTCGCTCTTCAATCAAATGTACTGGAATGTGTTTAAACTCGCTGTCCAGCATAGCTCCATGTGAATAAAGCTGACGAACAATACTTACGATAATGTTTAAAAAATAATAATTCATTCTTTGGATAACCATAACAGCTACTGCACTGTAAGATTATCAATTATAGAATAAGGCTTAATAATCAGCATCACTCTCCAGTTCAAACTGAAGTGCATTTTTGTATTTAAAAAAAAAAAAAAGTGTCTGCTGTATCGCTACTTGAGAAAACTTGCAGTGAGGGAAGAGAAATACAACCCTCACATTAAAAGCATTTATGTCACCATCTGAGCTATATATATCGTAAAAAACAAAACTTTTTTTTTTTTTAAAAAGGTACAGTTTGGGAGATGTTCTGGCACATATTTGCAGATTGCATGGCGTCAAGCACAAAGGCATGGAAGCATGTTATAGAAATGTACTACAGTTGCATACAAACACATCAGGGACTGGGGGTCCGGTTCCTTTCCCTTCTCTCAAATGTATTCACTCCAGCGTGTCTGCTAAAACTGAGACTCCTTTTCATAGAAATATAACTCATTCTAAAATGGCCAAATGGAAAGGAAAGTGAAGCCCGTCCCTGGAACACAATATAAACATGAGATCACAGCTGGTTACAGAGGGCCGGTGGTGGGGTGGGGGGTCTCAGTTAAGCAACTCCAGGTAAGTGATCGGCACTTTGCCCATCTGGTTGCCACGCTCGCCCATCAGCCAGTCTGAATCCATGCCAGGGACGCTGCTGACGACAATCACCTGCAAAGACAGGAGAGGGGGTACATTCTCCGTTTCTATTACAAACGTTACTCTGGACCATTTGTCAAGGCACATTACTGACATAGCAGAAGCTCTCACGTCAGTACAATTCGTTGCACTCATCCACTTTACTTACAATTTTCCATTCGTCAAAGACACCAAATGTATGAACTGCTTGGTTACCAATCCCTGTTATTATCAAAAGTCAGTTCGGCAAGGGCAGACTGGAAAATGTGCCTGAATGCGAGTATTAGGGTGAATGAGGTAATGCTGGTTCATTGTTAGTCAAACGCTGGCTCGTCATGGACCGTTCGGTGCTTTTCCAGGAAAAGGGAGTGGCTGATGTTCCGCTACTGTACAGGAACTGCTCCACTGCAGTTTGGTTTCAGACTCCCAGGCTTCCCAATTTTGTTAGTTTAATATAAAAAAAAAAAAAAAAAGGTTGATTCTAATATTAAAATGAAACTGGAAAATAATCTACAATAAAAGACAAAAAAATGGAAACAAGTAAGAGTTGATGAATATGGAAACGTGCAAAAAAACCCAGCTTCTTAAAATGTGTGTGTTTCACTCCTTGTTGACAGTTTCTCTCCGCGGTGATGAGAGAGAATGGAGCAATGATTATCTCAGACTCACCTCATCAGCCAGCAGGGAAAGCTCGCTGCTGCTGGCAGCATCGTAGTCGTAGAGCACTCGGGCTTTGCGGCTGCCGTTGGAGCTACGCAGCTCATTGAATCCGCCCGACACCGTGGAGCTGCTGCGGCCCGCGGACACACTGGGCAGGGAGGCCGACACCGGGATGGTGGGCACCGAGTTGCTGGCCCCGCCCGACACTGACGATTGGTTGTTGTTGGAGAATGTGGAGGGGAAACTGGCAGGAGGAAGGGGGTGATGAACACTGGCAACTGCAGACTGCTGTGCCACCCTGCAGCAGAGCTGGGTGATTACATGTTCTGCACTGATGCAGTAGATTATTTACCAGTCACATCTTTAGGCTCCCTCTCCCCCTGTATGAATTAGATAAAGCTGACTTCTCGGTGACCTCATCCCTGATTAAGTATTAGTCACTTTCAACAGAAAAGAGAAAAGTTAATGTAACTCTACTTGAACTACTTAATCACAAAAAGGATGAGATCATTCAACATCAATACTTTTGTTTACAGAAAGAGTTTCTAAAAGTAAGACAATAAAATAACTTGCTGCTCCCTGCATTAACACTATATTAATACTACTCATTTTGAAATGAGCACTGCAGGTCCTGTTTGGAAAGTACTGAGATGAGTAATGATTCTTGTATCTCAGAACAAAAGCTGTCTTCTATGTGACATTACAGAACAACTGCCCTCTAATGTAGTGCGATGCCAGTGAGCTTAGTTGAATGAAGAATGGATAAACGGTAACAGTGGTGTTTCACCTGCCCAGCTGCTTTTGGAGATCCACCATGTACTGGTAACACTGTGCGTAGTACGTAGACTGGGCCTCCACAAAGTCATTCAAGCAGCGTAGGTGATGTGCCTGGTAATGCACAAGGAGAGAAGAATACTGAGACTTTCACTGGTTTGTATCAAACTTTTTTTAACTCACATGGTATAAAAAGGAGAGTTCAATAGATTTCTTAGCTTAATTATTCTTGTATTTAAAGTTAGATATGCATCATTCTAGAACAAACATTTTGTCATCTTTTAAATGGCAGCTCTACCCACTTCACGCACCAAAATCGGTATTCATGGCAAAAACCAGCAGCACGACAACTACATCCCTAAATGCTATTGGTTTAACGACTGAGTGATGATTAAAGCAGACGACTGAGAGAGGAGAGGAGGGTGTGGGTGTGCCGGGCTGGGCTACGTACGTGGGTGCTGCTGACGCCTTCTAGCAGCAGCCGGGTGATCTCTGCCTGCCGGTCAAACTCACTCTGGGTCATCCTCAACTCCTGCTCTGCCTGAGAACCAAGAACCAAAAGTAGACATTTAGAGAGCAACATCACCGTTCCACCGGTGATTGGAGAAATGACAATGATGATCCAAGGGAGCAAAAATCAAGTCCACTGTTCTTATCATTTATGGCTGTAACCACAATGCTTTACAGAGCGAAGAACAGACATATGGCTTAAAAGTAAGAGTGAATGAACATGCATCAGACTAACAAATTGGTTTGCTGATATTCTCTTTTTGAAAGGCTATATTATCTGTATTTGAGTGAAGTTTATGTCCCGTGGTATCTAATATGGAAATAATCACAATCATTTAAGCTGAATATCAACATTTACCACCTGTTAGTCCATAAAAATGCATTAAACAAAATGAACAGTCAACCACAAGAGAAGATAAAGCCAGAGTCTGTATATGTGCATATGACAGGATATGGCTTCAGCAGGTCAAGACCAGAGAGGACAGAGGCCCATCAAGGACAAACGGGGAAAAGGACAACTAAACATGATGTTTCTGTCCTCGTATTGAGCCAAAGGATTCCATGACAGTCTTGTGGAACAATGGTTTGTCGAGACTCTCTAAAGTCCAGTAAACATATGGTCTGGAGCTGAGACTGACGGGGACAATGGCCGTACTGTCCTGAACGTCCTGAACCCTCTACAGAGAGAACATGGACAGCGTTTGGTTCTTGTGGGACTCGTCTACAAGGATCTCCATGAGATACGACGGTACGTGTCATGGAGGAGATACAGAAAGCTACGGGCAGCAGCTGTTCACACTGCTACCAGGGGGTTTGGTGTGTGTGTGTGCGCGTTCAATTCAAAGATAGCTCCAACATTCCACTCACCTCTGTCACTTCCTCTGCTCACATCTGCTGCTTTGCGTTGTGAAAACAGTGACACAGTAGTTAGAGCTACAGCTGCTGCACGGCCGCCGCCAACACACAACACATCCTCACACTCGGTGTGTGTTTGTGCGAGGGCGAGACGGCGGCGTGCTTTCACAAAAAAACCACACTCTGTAGATGCTAAGAGGACGGTGACAATGTAGCACAGACATGTTTCTCATCCCTCGGCATTCACACAGCCAAACCACCTTGGTGTGATGGGTGTAACACCCGCCACACCAAGACTAATGGTGTGAATAAGCTGACACTGTTGATACAACACACCTTTGTTTCTATGGATTAAAGCCACTAGACAACCCTTCTGTTTGGAAAAGCTAGATGCTTAAAATGAGCATGTTGACAAGCCACAGGGATAACATGGCTCGGAATAGGCCAAAGGAATCACAGTAATGGATGGAAGTTGGGCTCACTGGGTCTCATCTAGATAGTTTCAAAAGCCACTCATTTACTCAAGACTGCAGCCAAATAGCTTTGCTGGGATGTTGCCCAGCGCTGTAATGTCCATCCAGGAGTCTGACATTACATCATATTGTCTCGTGATTCTTGTAGTTCTATAATATCAGCAGCTTAGTTGGGTATTTGCCTCTTCTCTTTTCTCACTGGCGTTCTACTCTTGATGCACGAGGGGAAATGCTAGAGATATCATCTTCAGACATTGTTATCTGGAAGACGGTCTCGCAAAACAAAGTCAGACCCTTCAAGTGCCAGTGTGAATCAAATGAAGGTTTCTTTTTGCAACTAGACATGTAGATGAAAAGCTGCAGGTCAGCAGGACTCTTGATTTTTCACTAGAAAACGTCATGCATCATCTTTGTAGTGTTATATATCGTGACATGCATCAAGATATACAACACTACGAATGCAGCAGTCGGTGAATACATCATATTAAAGCTTTATCGGACAATTAGCAAAGCTCAGCATCACTCTGTAACACCAATGTTTGCTCTTGTAAAACCATCAGCTGATCACATCATGTCATTTCTAACTTTCATTTAGTCCTGCATAATAACCTTCAGTATGTGAAGCTTTTGGAAAATATGGTGTGTCAAAGTCAGGAGGCTAATGTCATTTGAATGTGTGAATAGTAGTGCTGGGCAAGTTAACGCGTTATTATCGCGTTAACGCATTCATTAATTAACGCCAACAATTATTTTATCGCGCGTTAACGCAGGTTTTTTAAAATGTATTATTGAGCGGACATTTTTAACACAAGAACTGGGCAGCGAGCGGTGAACATCTGTGTTTGTGTGGTGTCACTTCCTGCTGCTGCGCTGCGCTGTGTAATATGTATAATAATAATTTAGTTATCGCTACTGAGAATTTAACAAACATAAAAAACATGACGTAGATAGGTTTGCAGTTTTCAAGGTGTATATTTCAAATTGCATCTCTTACACACACGAAAATAAAGTTGTGAACACCGGCTGAATATCTATTATCAGAATCATAACTATTATAACTGCTACTGTGTAAAGGGAATACTGCTGTTAAAAAGCACCTTATTTGTTTAAAGTGTTTGCAAACCAAATGTTATTGCATTTTTGTTCATATAGCAGTACTTTTAAAATAAAAGTGCGCAATACACTACTTTTGAATTTATTATTGAACTTTGTGCATAACAATGCGATTAATCGCAAAAAAAATCATGTGATCAAAAATTGTAATCGTTGCCCAGCACTAATATACCGTATATATATTTAATCAACATCATTAGATCTTTTCTGCTGATTTGTATAATATTAACTTTACTATGTCAGCATCTTTGGCACAAACATTTCTGAATGTTCAATCTTATCTCATGCTACAAGCTGTGAACATTAATGAATTAGGCTGCAGCTTATTTAGAATTTGAAATAGGTTCACCAAGAGGTTGGAAAGACATCAGATTACAGTGAGTGAATTCAATACAGGATTCAGACTGAATAAAATGCATAAACCCAAAACTTTAGGAGCCTAAAAAGACTTTGTTGACTCCATGTTGTTTGAAAAGTGATGCATTTTGCAGCGCATGCTGTTTGTTGCATCTCTGAAGCACAATGCTGTCTTTGAGGTCCCAAATATGCATAAGGTTTCACAATTCTTTAGTGATCTCCTAGTTACGTCAGTTTGCCCCTGCCTCTTATGAATATAGCGTTTTAAAACATTCTTTTTTTCTTTTAAGGACACTAGTGCCCGTGAACAAATGTGAGCAGCAAAGAAAAAGAGAAACCCAGATGTCAGAAGAAAAAAGGGGAGACCATAGCAAGAAAACAACTGTCCAGAAAAAGGGAAGTCTGAAGTTCCCAGAGCTGCTCATGTGACTGTGTTGAAGTCACAAGAGACACAATGATCAGCTTCATGTTGTGTAACTCGGTGTGGCAGTCATGACTTGTGCGACTTCAGACAGAGGGGCAGTAGGATATATACGCACAGACAGCTTTTCTTCCTCTCAAAGGAAATTGCCTAATGCTTTTAGAGAATATAGAATTCACTAACAGTGTTCATTAATCAGTATTAAAATGACCGAAAGGCATCCAGATGCATGGATGATGATGATGATGATGATGACGATGTGTGTGTGTGTGTGTGTGCACTTACCGCAGCTCTAGCATCAGCCATCCTGGCTTTCTTTAGCCTGGTTTTAGCTGCATCCAAATCCAAACGTTTCACCTGCAGTAGCTTCTTCTCTTTCTGGACACAAAACACAATAAAACAGAAATCTTAGGCCTGTGCACGTTTTGCAGATGACATGGCGTGCATCTGCTGTCGTCCCTTACTTTATGATAGAGGGTAGAATGAATTAATGTTGGGATTCCTAATAGAACCGCACGTTTAATGTGCAGGATTTTTGGAGGTCTTGATTAAAAGGTCTAATGGGGAGAAGTAACAGCAACCTCTTCTATAGCAGCTTCACGATGGTCAGCTGCAGAAAAGCTTCGACTCTGAGCTACAGGAAGTGGTGTGTTTGCATTAACTAAAACTGAATGGCAGCTTCGTGGGGCTGATATTAATGATGATGTAATGACCTCAACCCCACATTGCTGAGTCCTCCTAAGTACAAGTCTTTCTAATGTTTTTTAATCAACTTCACTAAACAATTAGAAACCTTTGATAATGTATAGATAATTATCTTTTAGTCTAACTTCTTAACTGAACTGAGGACACAGGAGTTCAATATGATTTCTGATTATTAATGCTGCAAATTAGAAAGGGACCGTCATCAAGACACTCCTCTACAGCCACTAGTGCTGAGAGTCAGTTCCATATAAAAGTTCAAAGTTCAGTGAAAAGCGAAAATGATTTAAGACCCGTAGCCAGCAGTCCAACTCACCAGGATGGTTTTGAAGTCTCCCTCTAAGAAGTTCCTGAAAGGTGTCAGGAAGTTGATGGCGGCACTTTGGATCAACTCCCGTTCGGCCCCGCCAATCTGCTTCTCCGTCTCACCACATTTTATCAGAGCATTTCCTGTAACGGTCAGCAGCACACAAACAAACATTCACTCCCAACATAGCACTGGACGGCATAATGTGGCACCGCAGTCTAAAAGGTAAGGCCTGAACTCGTCTGTTTAAGACACAGAGGCCTGTGGATATGCACAAAAGCAAGAAGCTGCATCTGCCGTGACTGAGGAATGACACTGACCACGAAAGACTGTTGCAGGGGATTGAGGTGATGTTTAGCATCATAACAGAAGAAAGTTCTCCACAAACTGTCAAAAAGACTCAAAGTCTACACTTGACAGAATAATCTAAACCATTTTATGCGAAGTGATGTGCTTTACTGAATTTACCAGATTGTAAGTTTTACTGATCAAAAAAAATCTCATTGTGTAAATATGTTACGTACCCTACAATATATCAGTATTGAGGTATTTGGTCAAAAATATCGTGGTATTTAATTTTCTCTATATCGCCCAGCCCTATTTTCAATCATTTTATGCTCTATAAATTAGGAAATATTGTGGGGGAGGATTGTGTTTGTCAACCAACAACATGAATCATATAAAAAATAAAATGAAGTTGCTATTAGCCACAGCCAAAGTTGACCAGAATACAAGTCGCAGTATGTCGCTCAGTGTTATCGCTCACCGTAGGCAGTGCCAGGACCAAATTCACCACCCGACTCAATCATGGACTGACCCAGCAGGTCATGGTTGTTCATTCGCGTAGGAGCTTTTTTCTCCAGTTTCTCGTACACAAACTCTTCTAGCCGGACATCTGCAGATTGCAAACAAGAAAACTTAATTAACAAAAGTCATAAGACCGCCAAATGTAGGCGGCTGCCTTGAGGACAGAGAGTCCAAACAGCCTGCTTTACATTTGTAAACTAAAAGAGAGGCTCTCATAATGACAAGAAAATGTTAGCACATCACATGGATGAACGTTGACATCAGTCAGCATTTCTGTGGCATGTTGTTTGGATGTACATTAGGAAAAAAAGAAGAACAAATCCAGTTAAAAAAATATCACAGGACTGTAATCACCAGCTGGTCTGTCTGTGTTTGTCATGCCCCAGCATCATGGTGTGAACGGAGGAGGATGCACAGCTGAACTTACAGACTTCATAGACACCCTACCTACTGATGTATGCCAAACACCACCTCAGAGACATTAAGCATGGCTTTTATGTGACCCTTGCAAACATGGAAATCCAGGCATCTTCTGGTTCAACGAGCTTCGCTTGAGTGTAGCATGCTATCATTTATCAACACATATAAACTAGTTTATCAGTCCAGTCAAGTTCACCCCAGAGTCAACAGTGGTCTTACTTGGGTTGGGCTGCAGTAAGACTTCCGTCTGCTTCATAATCCTTTCTGTCCATAGCTTGGTGTTCTCAGCTCTGACCAACAGGTTCTCCAGATGAGCATCCAGCTCTGTCTTTTCAGCCTGGCCAAGTTTCTCTTCTGTAAACTGGAAAAAAGAAAATATCCGGTTACAGTGTCCACATAACCTTTCGCATGTGGGCGTCATGCGAGGAATGTTTGTAGGAAAGTGCCAACATGCGTTAGAAAGTTGGACGGAGTAACCAAAGAAATAAACGTTAACGGTATCTGCTTAGCTAACGCTAAATGTTGATGGCTCTATCTAACGTTAATGGTTTCTGCGGCCTGCTTTGATGGTTGTATTGGAATACGGTAGTGTTAGCTATAATAGAGACTGGGATGTCGCGGGTACTATTTAAACAACAGTCATGTAACTGCAGACAACTTTTAAGGATATAACATTGTCTCTCAGATGACATGCAATACAATAACAGCCACAGGAGAGTTAAGCTAGCTGCTTAGCATGGGAGCTAACGCTACCTGACTGATTAGACTAGCAGCTAACGTTGGTTAGCAACAACTTCCACAAACTAGACGGTCAAACTTACTTGTACCGCACGGCTTAGGAAAGTACCGGCGTCTGCGGCTAACCGCTTTACATTAAAATCCATGGCACCGCGGGGGTAATAAGCACTTAAAACAACAGCTAGCTTGTCTCACAGTCAAACTGCCATCCCTATACGCTTTAGCAACTTTTTTTTTTGTCGGAGTTCCACCCAGCTGTTGGTCCTGACAAAGATAATGTACGGACAAGATACTTCACGTCTACACCCGTATCTGACAGCTGAGAGAAAAGCTCGCGCTTGCGCATATCGTCACACGACAAAAAGGGAAAGGTGACAGCAGAAAATGATGTCAATACATTGAAACAACTCAAGATTTAGTCAGTAATACGTGTTGCTGTTGTTTTTGGTCGACTGCCCCGCAAATACCCGCAATACCCTGGGCTTGTAAGAAACAACTTTTATCTGCGTAATATTTTCATGATACATGGGAGTGCTAACGGATTTTGTCCAGTTGATTGTCCCAGCATCTTTGACAATGGTTAAGAGGTCGACGCGCTCTGCTGTGCTTAGTTGTATGTTAATGAAAAGTCGCTGCCATTAGGCTAATCTTTTGTTGCATTCATGTCATGCGGAAATACAGGAATCGTGTTACGATTAAAGCGGAACAAGAAGTTGTGAAAATAAGAGGGAAAATCGAAATGTTCCACAATAACAGCATAATCAAGATGTGACCTTTGTGAACAGAGAGACAGTTCAAAGTGAAGTTAATGCTATGGAAAAAGTGATCTAATTCATATTCACACGTTAGAAAATGAAAGGACATATAAAGGAGTAATTTCACTCTACACTTCTATGTGGAGGAGGAGGAGGAGGAGGAGGAGAAATGTGAAAGAGGGAGGCTCATTTGTCCCCATAAATTATGCATTTTCTTATCAGTTGCAGTTATGGCTAGACTCCAAACTTGGTGGTGTGCACTGCCAGTGAGGCAACAATGACAGATTACAGGGAGAGATTATTTAGATCCCCCCCCCTTTAGAATATTCTCTATTTTATACCACCATAATGCAACTTCGGTACATGCAGGTCATTTGCAATGAGCATAATGTTCTTGCAACATAATATATTCTGCAACACTCGCCTCTTTCTTAGAAATTGTCCCGAGGAAGAGGACTTTGGCAGATTTTGGAAAAACAAAAACACTCTTCAGGTCTGGATGTAATTATGCCAGACAGAGCCTGCTACGTGCTGCGTGGGAGGATGTCAGGCAGAGAGAGAAATCAAATGACTTCCCCTCTGTAGGCTATCAACGCACTGTCAGCTACAGCCTTTCTAGTCAGCCAAACGATGTCTCGAAGGTTTCCTCATCCACACATGTGTTCCTCTGTTGGGTTTGGGCTTCACAAATAATAATGCCGTGGGTTTTCCCCATCACACACATACGCTAGTTTCTTATTGCACTGCCAAGATGTCATGTAATACCAGTTTACATAAAAGGTATTGATTTACAATGTTAACCTCAAATGTTTCAGATTTGAACAAGCTGGGACTATTGCCTATTTATCATCAAGTATAAGCTGTAAAACAGCAAATGGTCTGCAACAGTAGCCCACACACTGCATTTTTTTTTAAATAACCACACTATGTCAAAGATATTAAAGCTTTGGCTTTGCTTCATGCTTGGCTAACTTTCAGAATTGTTGGGGCGGGTGCTTTAAACACGTGAATATGGAAGTCAGCACTTTCAGGAAGGCCGAACAGCTCCTTTGAGGGAGGAATCGGTTGCTGTCTGGTTGTTCCATGTAGTAAATCTGTGTGTATCTGCTCTTTCACTTCACAATTACGGAAAGCACTCAAGGGTAAGAGAGAACCAAAACTAGCTGAAACTTCAGCAAAATTACTTTCTCATTAACGTATGTTTCCTGGGATTAGGAAATCCCAACTGTCCACTTTGCAGCAATGAACTAATGGAACAATGCATGTATGTCGGTGATCTTTAGGTTCTTTATTTGAGACATTTGTTATAATGCAGCTGCTGAGGATAAATGAATTCCAGGAACTCAACACAACATAAATACCTTGCACAGACTTTCACTTTCTTACATGACGCAGCTTTGACAGAGCAAATGGTTTCGAGTTTCATTCAGCACAAGACTTTAGAATGCGACTGTCATGGATCGTTGTGTCAAAGTACATCTGCAACTTGAGAAAGTCTTCGAGCTTCAATTATGCACACTCCATAAATACTTTCTATGGGATAAAAAGAACGGCATTTAGGGCAAAAATCAAAGCTGAACTACAATTGTAGCTTTTTTTGGACCAAATCTTCGGATAGCTCCAGCAGCAGAGGATATCTCAGTGTCCTCTTCCTCCAAGACTCTGGGACTCCCTGGAGACCAGTCTGAAAAAACATCAAGACGACAGCTGAAAGGCAGCACAAAGCTTTCAGAAGATCTGAGCTCGCTGTCAAACTCATCACACAAGCTCCACAATTATAACGATAATATATTAAACACTTATATAACAAAATATAAGTAGCAACAAAAAATATCCATATAAGAAAAACAACAAATATAATAGTTCATATAAAAGGATTGCATTCAGGGTGATGAATATTGCACAATCCAACCCCCCTGTGCAATATTCATCACCTTGAATGCAATCCTTTTATAGAAAGTCTTGTTTGTTCTTAAATGGATAATTGTATTGTTTCTCATATTTTATTTCATTATTAATCTTTGTTTATGTCTTTCTCTAATAAAGCCTCCCAGCGGAAGTATTTCACAGATTGTACTTGTACAAGCGTAGTGACAATAAACATCTGGAATCTTGAACAATTACAGACAACAACAATATGCTAAATTATAAATGTGAACCATGAAACACACATGGTTGATATCTTTGCCTGCTTTTAAATGATTATTTTTCCATTGTTGATTGATTTTGTGACCAAGTTAACTCTTGTACTCTTAGAGTAGCATTGTGCTGTCACACATTATTTGCATACACGTCTATTTAATTACAAAACAAAAATCAAAACACCTTTTCCTCAAATCACTCTTTAGAAATATAAACTATTATAGAAAAAGCACATTTCAGAACGCATTTCCTACTCAAAACAGTATCAGTGACTAATGACTATTTCATATGCCTGAGAGTCACACTCCTGCAGTACCTGTGCCCCAAAACAGGCTCCTATGAAGGAGGCTCTGCTGGCGGTGCATCCCCCGCAGCGCATGGTGTCTCTGACTGCTTCATCCAGCTGTTTCAGCTTCAGGACTCCATGAAGGGCTCCCTGGAACGCACCAGGCAAAGCTAGACGCAAACCCAGATTTAGCAGGTTAATGCAGTTACTTCACCGTGCATTATTTGATTTACTTTTGCAATCTCATTATAACTAGGCTTGTAAGTTGAGCAGACCTGGGCTGCACAACCTCACATGTACATTAAGCATCTCAACCTTTTAGCCCTGTAAAACCTGAGACACTCAACTCAGCAGGAAGGGGGAAATGAAAGGGAAGGAGGAGGGAGACCATTAGTCAGGAGATCAAAGGATGGAGGACCCTCCTAACGGATATGCTGACAGGGAGGGTACGCGAACCGTGCCAAGTCAACAGACCTGGATCCTGCTGCCACCGCCTGGCTTACCTCATGTGTTTGTGAACACAGCAGGTACGAGCTGTTGGGATGTCTTGGCTAGGTTGTCCTTCACCTGGTGGATATGCGCTTCAGCAGAGATCCAAGAAGAGAGATAAACTGTATTGTTTAGTGTTCAAACATTGAGGCCCATTTTTGGCTGTGGCTGCCTATTGTCATAACACACATTATGTATCTTCTACACCTTTTCTGTAACATTATATATTGATTTTGAAAGACAAATGCTAAAAGACCATTTTGTGTTTCGTGCAGTTTTGAACATGCACTTTTCCCACGAGACCTTTTTGTACTCTTTTCGTCCAAATCTTGGCAGGAAAGTGAATAAGATTATCTTGTTGCTATAATGTCTTTATTGCTTTGAATCTCAAAAGGACCAAGACACATGTAGCCTTACCAACGACAGCCCGGTCCAGCTCCTGAGGGTTCTGTCTCTTCGGGTCGTTCAACTGAGCCAGAACTGCATCCAGGGCATTGGGATCTGGACCATTCAGAATGAAATGCTCCAAAAACCTTACGATGTTAAACAGACAAACAAAGGGTAAGCCTCCCTCCACTCATGTCAACATAATTCTGCAGCTTGTGTGCATGACCAAAAGTTTATCAGCTTCTTCAGAACCTTCTCTCACCTCGCTGCAGCCAGCGTCACAGCCACACACATGTCGTTGTTCTGGGTCACCCGCATGGCTCTCTCCACTTTCTCCAGCATCTCAGGATGGCCTGCGTACATGGCCACCACCGGAGCCAGCTTAGTGACCCCGTCCATCTGACAGTCCACATCACAGCCTCAAAAACAAATACACAAACAGAGATTAATGCCACCAAAAAAAAAATGCCAGGGGATGTCTTCACGCACTTCTGATCTGTGATCTTTACCAGTTTCTTCTTTGCCAGCATCCACATTTCTGATGAAAGCCTTCAGGCTGGCGTTTCTCCATGGGCCGTCTATGGGGAGGATGGCTTTGGGACCTAACAAATGCAGCAAACAGCTGGTTTATATAGGGAAATGAATGCATTTGACAGCTTCACCCTCATTAATAAGACAGAATCAGAGAGGCCTGGATAGGGGACAAAAGAAGAGAGAGAGGAAGAGAAACATTTCCTTGTCTGTCGATGCAGTTTATGTTTCTGTAGGTGGAGCCATTTTCTTTGTCTACTCTGTCGTGGTTATCACTGCCAATGATGGTGACACAGCTCGTCTTATATTATTCAGAGACATAAAGCCGTCTACAGTTTACTGCACCCAAAAGTGCCCTACGTGCTGTGGTGATTTACAGCAGCACTGTAGTTATATGATATTCTGACCGTAAAAAAAAAGCAGCACCAATCCAAAGCTCTCAACACCAAGAACAGAGAAGTCTGACTGTATGGAATATCTTAGAGGGAATTCCCCATCAGCTGGTAGGAAAAACGCTGTGCACAGAGTTATCAGACAGTAACAGAGGCTCTCACATCCGTCGGGGCCAGTTAAGTTGATGATTGATACATATGGACATCACAATATCGACAGTTGCATGAGAGCAGAATGGGCACAGTATACCTCCTTTCTTCATGTAAGGATCATTGAGAGGCACGTCGTAGACGGTTCCTGGGCCAAAGAACTTGTAGATGCGCTTGTTCAAGTCTTCCACATTAACATCTGCCAACACATGACATACTGTATCTTTAAGAAAACAGTCA